AGGCCTTTGTAATTTATTTATATTTCCTCTCATTGTTATTGAAGTTTTGCCTCCAGTTTGGGTGGCGGTAGGAGAAAAGGATATTGATACGGAATACCATGGATATTTGATGGTTGGTTCTGATGACTGCACCTGCCCAAACTCCTGTTGCCTGTTTTGTTTATAGATCCAGAATCCAAGCACAGCAGAGTAGTGTGGATTGGTGAGACTGGGGCCTAAGGAGCAGGGTGGTCCAGGCCACTCAGATGACTCTTATTTTTCCAAATGTTTTTCAATGTCAGTTATTTTGCTGGGTTGGTTTTACTTCCCATTTATTAAGACCTCTGTTATTACTAGGGTTATATGAAAAGTGCATTGCAGTGAGGATATATTTTTTTTAATTTTTTTAAAATTACAGTTTACATTCAATATTATTTTGTATTAGTTTCAGATTTACAGAATAGTGGTTAGACAATCATATACTTTGCAAAATGTTCCCCCTAATTTTTCCAGTATCCATCTGGCACTATACACAGTTACTACAATATTATTGACTATATTTTCTGTGCTATACTTTACATCCCCATGACTATTTTGTAACTACCAATCTATACTTCTCAATCCCTTTACCATTTTCACTCAATCCCCAAACGTTCCTCGCCTCTGGCAACCATAAGTTTGTTCTCTGTATCTATGAGTCTGTTTCTGTTTTGTTCATTTAAGTTTGATCTTTAGATTCCACATATAAGTGAAATCATATGGTATTTGTCTTTCTCTGTCTGACTTGTTTTACTTAGCATACTACCCTCTAGGTCCATCCATGTTGTTGCAAATGGCAAGATTTCGTTCCTTTTTATGGCCAAGTAATATTCAATGTACTACCACTTTTTTATTCACTCGTATCTTGATGGGCACTGGGGTTGCTTCTGTATCATGGCTATTGTAAATTATGCTGCAGTGAACACAGAGGTGCACAAACTCTTTTGAATCAGTGTTTTGGGTTTCTTCATATATATACCCAGAATTGGAATCGCTGGGTCATAAGGCATATTAAAACCACAATGAGATATCACCTCACACCTGTCAGAATGACTATCATCAATGAACCAACAAGTGTTGGCGAGGATGTGGAGGAAATGGAGCCCTTGTGCTCTGTTGGTAGAACTGTAGATTAATGCAGCCACTGTGGGAAATAAATATCCAGAATCAGTTGCATTTTTATCTACCAATAATGAACTACCAGAAAAGGAAACTAAGAAAGCAATCCCACTTACAATTGCATCAAAACAAACAACCATGCAGAACAAAAAAACAACCTAGGAATAAATTTAACCAAGGAGGATATATTTTTTAATGTCAGTTCAGTGGATTTTTGGAAGCCTGGTTCTAAAAATATGTTTCTTCCTGGAGTTTAATGACACAGTTATGAAAGCAAAAGTGTTAGTTGAAGAAGGCTGAAAAATACCGGGTTACACAATATCAGATTTTAGAAGCTACTTTTATTTATGTCTTAAAATATAAACCGACTTTAAGAGTAGATTTATTGAAACAGGTAAGCCTAGATCTTGTAATATTATGTATTTGCTAAATCACCTTAAAAGAGAAAATATGAGAAAAGTAAACAATTGATTTACATGTGATAAGATTTCATCTCAGAGAGACTGGTAGCATTTTGTCTTTAGACATAATAGTTAATATTTCTTGGATATGTTACATTTGCTCAGTTTATATTCTTGATATAAGCAATCAGTGATCTCCAATTAGCTGTTTTCCCACCATCTAACAGTTTTAAAAATGAAATTCCAAGGCAAAATGTAATAAAAGACTTAAATAGTTACGTAAACAAATACTGCTAGTAAAATGTCAACGTTGCTGAAATTGAGCTATTGACTGGTGGATGTTCTGATGTGAAATATGCATTCTTTAGCTGATTTATTATACATTCAGCATTGGAAAAGACAGTGTAAGAGTTTAACAATAGGAAAGGAAGTGTTAAAGTTGAATGTAGAGTTGCTTGCATCTTTACAACCATGTTAAACATTATATTTAACCAATCCATCTATCCTTTGGTGATGTGAATATTTGATTACATATACAGTTGACCCTTGAATGACATGGGTTTGAATTGCATAGGTCCAATTATACGAGAATACTTTTTCAATAAATATTGCCAATGTATTTTCCTAATAACATTTTTTTTTGCTGTCTTAATTTATTATAAGAATGCAGTATATACTATGCATAACATACAAAATATGTGTTAATCAACTCTGTATGTTATCCATAAGGCTTCCTGTCAACAGTAGGCTATTAGTAGTTAAGTTTTTGGAGAGTTAAATGTTAGATGAAAACTTTTGACTGTGGAGGGTCGGTGTCAGTGTCTCTAAACCCTGCCTTGTTCAAGGGTCAAGTGTATTTTCATTTTATGCTTCTGGAAGGAGTGTAAACTGAGAAGACCATTTGGTAAACTCAGGGGCTATTTTTGGACCCTGGGTTTGCCTGAGAGTGTACCCTTAGTGATGTGCTTGCAGTGAAAACTTAGAGCTCAGTCTTTGGGCTACTTTTAGCACAGATTTTATGATTCTCCACAATGATTGGGATTAAGCCCTTCATATGTCTGGTTGCTAGTCCATTAGGAAGAACATAGTCATTTCCTTTCACTTTAGAGGCACTTGGAAGAACAACAAAAAGCTGATTGAGAGTTGTTGGGTTCAAATCCTGCCTCTTCAGGTAGCCTGTGTTTTGACAAGGGTTTGGTGCTCTGTGAGTGTGAAAGTGTGTCTGGGTCTATGGCACGTGTGTCTGTGAGAAAGAGAGCTAGTCAGCACTATGTACAAGAGGGAGCACGTGGGCTGAGGTAATACGTCTTTGCTCTTTAATCGAGCTCTTAAGAAAGGATATGGCTTATGCAGTGTGCTCCACCTGGCTCCAGGGAGCTTTCAGTCTTATGGAGAGAAGAGGAATTGGGCTTGATGCCCAGAGAGGGCTACATTGAGGGTGGTGTGGGAGCAGGTGGGAAGGAGGCTAATCCGGGGCTCACACGAGGAGGCTTCAGGCGAGGCCTGAAAGGATATCAAAACGGATACAGTGTGAAAAATTCGCAAGAGTTAGCCTAGGAAGAAAATTGTTCGTTCTAGGGAAAGGAAGCAGCAGGTTGAAAGGTGGAAGCAAAGCATACGAGAGAACTAGTAGGGAGAGGAGATAACCTGGAGGAAAAATGTTACCCCTTTTCCACATTCTCAAATAAATGCATTGCTTTAATTTCCAATAGCAGTTTGAAAAAAAATTTTAAACTATGTATTAAATGCAGCCAAAATAACTAGATGAAGGAGGTGCTTGAAAAACTTGCTCTTCTAAAAAACAGAATTATAAAATACTCTTTGTCAAGTGATGGTCCTTGGCGCCAATTCAGTGCCAACAGGAATCCCCATTTTGGGGTGCAGTGAAGAAGGAAACTTCCGTGCAAACAGCTCAATTGTGATGCAGCACCGCTGGGCAACAGCATGGCTCAAGGTGGCCCTGGGGCCAGGCCCCTTTCCCACTGGACAGCCCTGTCCTGCTCTTCTCTGGTCTGCCCCACTCTGCTCCTGGCTCGTCCAGTGTTCTCTGCTCCAGAGAAACATCTTTGGTGTTTCAGCTCCAGCCACTGGATGCAGTCCTCGTCTTTGGTGGAAAAGAAAAGCGCACTCTCTGAGCCAGAGGGGAGCTGGCTTATATTGACAAAAGCTCCTGCCCGTGGCCCCTGACTGGTCCATCCTCATGGGAATGAGGACTCCAAATCTTAACAGTTTCTTGCAAAAGGCCCTGTCCGGTTGATCAGAATGGAGGCGCTCTGATTGGTTGGTGAGGATGTTGCACAGCTCCATTTGGCCGGGGAGAGTCGCAGTCCTTTTGGTTGAAATAGGGGTCCAGGAACTTCTTTACCAGGTCTGGCTCTCAGGGCAGGAACCTAGTGCAGGAGGCAGTGCAGGCTTCTCCTGAAGTGTGATTTGCATGGGAGGCCCTGTATAGAAATGCCTTTTTGCTTTTGTTTTTGTTCGTTTGTTTGTTTAATCTGCCAGGAGCCTTTTTGTCTTTTGCAAGTACTGTGTCGTCTTTCTCAGGGTCCACATCTATAAACCTAGCTTAAAGCTTGAACTTGTTTGCTCTGTACTTGGAACTCTGTTTGCTTATTTCTCCATAATGGTGACAGTTTTGTCCTGGAGAATAGTGACAGCCTCCCTAGGTCAGTTCTCAAGAACCACACAGTGAGAGACAAAGCGTGTATTTCACAGAATTCAATGCTTTCCTCATTATAAGAGTTTGGGAGATTGGTGTCCTTTTCTTTAAAAAATCCAATGAGAGATAGTTAAGACATTATGGAGTTTTGAACTGTACATGTAAACCATACTCACAATGGTACTGTTTAATGTTCTATATTTTTCAAATATTTCTTACTTGTGTTTTTAATCTTTTAGATGAGAAGGTATGCACTCAAAAGAGTTAAGTGATATAGCTGTAGGCACAGTTTGTTTTTCTGCTTTGCTTATAACCAATAACTTTTAAAATAATAGACCCTATAACAAAAAGATCTGAATACAAAAGAAATTATTGTCTTTATTCTGATACTCTAAGACTTATCTCAAAGAATTTGAAAGTTTTGAAAATTAACAAAAGAATAGAACATATCCTGATAATAATAGTAGCAACAAGAATAACTTTTATTGACCTCCTCTGTGCCCATGACTGCATAAAGCACTTTACATGCATTATCTCATTTAATGCTTGCACAGAGTTAATGAGATATCTACCAATGCCATGTAAGTGATATTTGATAACTTTGAATTTACATTATATTCTTAAGTTGCTTTACTTGCAACCAATTTGGGTCAACTCTAGGAGAACATGCTGATAGAATATTAAATCTCACATTTAATATTCTAAGAGATATGGTAAGAACTAAGAGATACTGATGGACATCCCTATTGGATGTTTTCCTCTCAACAGTTTTGTGGCCATGTATTTAATAACTGCATTTATCAGAGTTAAGTTTATTTCTTAGTTGGTGCTATTATATCCTGCATATCATTATTTGATGTTTTTCTCCTAGATTATAGAAAGTTTTGGGTACTGACTTCTTCTGGAGGCTGTGTTGAACAACTTAGTTCCAGTTGATATCCAGTTGAATATCTTGGGCATTTTCTTTAAGTATTTTTTCCTGTGAACTTTTTTATTTGAATTTTGAATTACTGTTTTCTTTATATGCAGACTCTTCACGTATTCTGATCTATTGGCCATTTAACATGTTTTTTTTTCTTTCTTTCTTACTTAATCCAGAAAGAGCGAATAGGGATGCAGACTTTGATTTTGAGGTAAGTTAAGTATATATTAACTTCCTGCAAGTCAGAATGAAAAATCAAGACTCAGTTAGAAGTATACTTCATATGAATACTTAGGCCTTGGCACTGCAGTTACTTATTCATACTACATTCTTCCTATTTTTGTCCTCTAACCTATTCATTTTTTAGTAAGTAAACCAAATTCCATGTTTCATGCAGATTTAATATTGGGTCTTTCTGGATAGCATAAGGGAGCAAACACAAGCTTGAGTTTGTTTTCAGGCTCCCTGTGAAATAAACTCAGAACGCTAAGACTTGATATTTAAGATAATAGTATTTGGCTTAACAGTTTGCTAGGGTATAATGCGGGTATAATATGTGACATCTTTTTATGTGACAGTTATTAGTATGTGATTAGTGCTTATTGATGACTGTGCCAAGGTTCCAGTAACTCAACTGAGTTAAGGAAACATATTAAATAAAATAATAAATAATAAAATTAAATACTACTTGTAAAAATGCAGAATTTTCTTAACCAAAGGTCTTATTCTATTTCTATAAACTTGCAAAAAGATACTAACAATTAGAATTTCTTGTATACAGAATATAAGCACTTTGAAGGTATTTCAGAGAAAGTAATATTTCTTGTAGGCTCTAATTGACCCAGAGCAGTACTCACAGAGGTACACGTCCTTGGATTGGGTTAGGGGTATCCAGCAAGATTTTTTTTTAAAAGATTCTTTAAAAATAGTTTTTTAGGAGTGACTGAAATTCCCACCCTGGGAAAGAAAGCCTATCAGAGTAAGTTGGCTGTGCACTAGTTAGCTGGATAAAGTGATTGACTCGATTCCTAGAAGTTCTGCGATTCCTTACAAGCTCAATGACCAAAATGTTGAGAGGAACCGAATATGAAAACTGAAGGGACTATGGAAATCATCATATAGTCCAGTTATTTTTACAGTGTAATTTGTAGACCACCTGAATAAGAATTACATGAAAAACTTCCTTAAAAATGCAAACTCTTGGGCTCTGCATCAGATTACTAATCAGTATTGTTGAGGCTAAGGTTAAGAAGTCATGAGTTTTAAAAAGTACTCAGGTGATTCTTATCACCATTAAAGTTTGAAAACCACTGTCACAGAGTCTCCACAACTAAAATGATGTAATGTGATACAAAGAACATATTTATTGAGTAACTGAATCAAGACAATTATCTAGAAAATAAAGAACATGAAAAATTCAAGTTTCCATGTCTTTAGAGCAGTCTGAGGAAAGATTTATCTTATGAGATTGAACCAATTTAAATGAAAATAAATATATTGCCATTTTCATTTTGTTCATATTGGCACAATGATAATATACTCTTCACAGATTTTTGTATGTATTTCTCAAGTTAACTTCAATCACAGTTTACATTTCTTTGCTTCTTTGTGTTTAAGTAATGTCATCAAATACCTATTTTTAGGCCTAAAATAGTCCATTAATTTTGCCCTTTGTTTTGGTCCTGTTGAGGATTCAGCATCATTAAAAGAGTGGAAATCCTTGCTATTTCTCTGTAACATAGTAGTTCTTAACCATTTCTTGTGTCTGGTGGTTTGTGTGTGTGTGTGTATGTGTGTGTGTGATTTGATAAAGCTACCACCAAAATTCTCATTCTCTCTCAAGCTCTGTCTCTCCATCCCCCACCCCCACTTGCATGAATACACATGCATGTGTGTACACAATATACACATAGTTTTGCATTTCATTTCAGGTGTTCTATAGCTCCCCGGAATTGCGGGTTTAGTATTTCTGCAGAGAGAAGCTAGAGTTTTGTTACTGAAAGTTACAGGCTGTCTACTTGCATTGTTAATAATAGCATTGTGTCTTCCCAATGGTGCTATTATCAGATGCTGGGCAGCAGAGAGAGCAGCTTGCTCATCATTGACAAACCAAGGGTAAGCAGCAATCGTTATGATCACTTTCTTTTTTTAAATTAAATTCATTGGGATGATATTAGTTAATATCATATAGGATTCAAATGTTGATTTTTTTAAATAAAGGAATTTTTAAAAATTGATTTTAGAGAGACTAAGGGAGAGAAGGGGGTGAGAGAGAGAAACATCGGTCGGTTGCCTGCTGTACACACCCTGACCCAGGACTGAACCTGCAGCCTAGTTGTGCGTCCTGACTGGGAATTGAACCTGCGACCTTTCCGTTAATGGGACGATGCTCCAGCCAACGGATCCACACCGGCCAGGGCTCGAGTGTAGAGTTCTATGATACATGATCTGTACGTGTGTGTATGTGTATATATATGTATGTGTATATATATGTGTATGTGTATATAAAAGTTATTTATTTTTATTAAATATATCTATTGATTTCAGGGAGAGGGAGAGAAAGAGAGAAACATCAATGGCGAGAGAGTCATTGATTGGCTGCCTCCTGCACGCCCCCCACTGGGGATTGAGCCCGCAACCCAGGCATGTGACCCGGACCGAGATCTCCTGGATCCTAGGTCGATGCTCAACTGCTGAGCCATCCCTGCTGGGCCATGATCTGTATATTGCATTGTGTGCCCACCACCCAAAGCCAGATCAGCTTCCATCACCATATTATTTGGTCCCTTTTACCCTTTACTACCTCCACAACCCCCTTCCTCTGGCAACCACCATACTGTTGTCTGTGTCTGTGAATTTCAGTTTTATATTTCACATATGAGTGAAATCATATGGTTCTTAGCTTTTTCTGACTTACGTCGCTTAGCATGATATTCTCAATGCCCATCCATGTTGTCGCAAATGGCAGTATTTCATCTTAGGGCTGAGTAGCATTCCATTGTATATATGTAGTACATCTTCTTTATCCAATCATCTATCGAAGGACACTTTAGTACTATAGTTTCTTGCATGGACACAAATTAGATACTTTTTTTAAATCAGTGATGTTCATGCTCTCTCAGTTCTCAGTTGTTTTGCAGGGCCTCATACATGGTTTTTGAGAATTTATCACTTCAGAAAAAAATCACCTTCTTATGGAGAAAAGGTACATTAGACGTATTTATGAGGATGATACATAAAACGTGGCACTTTGCTTGGAATTTAGTTTGTTTTACAAATGAGAAAATTAAGGGTCTGAGAGGTTTAATATCTTGACCAAAATTGTCCATATGTTTAAGGGGTAGATCCTGGACTAGAACTCAGGTTTCTTAAGGCCTAGTTCAGCATTCTTTCTCCTTACAGTGTCCTTTCTTCTTTAATTCAGTTCCACAAATATGTATTATTTAACATTACTGTATAAAGGGCTTAGGGAAAATTACTTTGAAGTATTTTTTCCCCTTTCCTTTATTTTTTATTGTTTTCTTTCTATTTTTTGTTATTTTCTTCTTTGCTACTTCTCTGACCCTCCAACTTTCAATATCACATACAAGTACACATTCACCTGAGTGATCATACGGAGTTTGTTAGTGTGTCTGTTTTTTGGAAATCTTTTCTTTTTAATTCTTTGACCCTTAAACGTTTACATCACTTAGCATGGTGGACGAAGAAAGGCTGTGCATTTAGACCAGATTTGTACTTGTATTGTCAATATGGCAAATGAGCGAAAAAATGTTAATATGCTATTGGACTTTTTATTTCCTCCCTTTAAAAACTTTTGTTGAATGTATTGGGGTGACATTGGTTAATAAAATCGTACAGGTTTCAGCTTTACAGTTCTCTAATACATCATCTGTATATGGTATTGTGTGCTCACCCAAAGTCAAGTCTCCTTCCGTCACCATTTATCCCTATTTACTCTCTTCCACCTCCCCACCCCCTTCCCTCTGGTAATCACCGAATTGTTGTCGGGGTCTATGAGTTGTTGTTGTTTTCTTATTCCCTTTCTCTTTTTGCCCAGCCCCCCAGCCCCCTCCCCTCTGACAGCTATCAGTCTGTTCTCTGTATCTATGAGTCTGTTTCAATTTTGTTTATTTTGTCCATTAGATTCCACCCTAGGTGAAATCCTATGGTATTTGTTTTTCTCTGCCTGGCTTATTTCACTTAGCACAATACTCTCCAGGTCTGTCCATGATGTTTGAAACCTTTTCTTTAATCCCGGGTAGCATTTGCTAACTCTCTATTGATTGCTCCACAGCCTGCAAAGAGATACAATTTGTTCCTGAGTCGCCGTCTTCTGGTAAAAGCAGTGGTGAATGTTGCTGCTTGTGCTCTGGATGGCCGCAGTGATAGTCTAAGCCATTTTTATTCCAGTGAATAGTATTGTATGGGTTTCGGAGGGGGTCTTTGTTACTGATTCCTAGTCCCCAGGCGATTGAGGTTCTAGAATGGTAATTCTTATTTTTTATCTGATTAAAGCTATGGAACCTCTTCCTAAAAATGCATGCATATGTGTATCATACACATACATATATGCATACACACACACATAAAATTTACATACAGTTTCAGAGGTTTATGAGCCCCCATCAAGAATCCAAGTCTGTGAACTTCAGAATAACTACCTCACTCAGAGAAAAGGCACCCGGATATTTGGCTCATTATATATCTAGGCATTTTAAGAGCAAATCAAATAGAAACGCAAACTCCTACTCATGCACACATTGCAGAATATCGTAATGTCATGCCTTGGGCAGAACAAAAGAATGATGCGTTTGAATAGTATTTGGTTACATGTATACCAGGTTTCTCTGCCCCAGTCGCTTCAGCTGTTTTTTTGTTAACAGCCCTGGCATGTACCTCATGGTGATTTACGAGGTTACCAGTGATTTTTCCGTATTTTAAAAATTTTTACAGTTTATACTTAGGGTACAACATAATGACAGAAGTTTGAGTTTTCCCATGTTGCCTTTGGCTTTCAGTAGAAGGGAAGTATATACACCCATTTTGACTGAGCCCTCAGGAAAATCATTGGAGTCACTATTTCTACTAGCTCCTTTGTTTGTTCCTTAATAGTCAAATACTCTGAGTGTGATTTTTATTGATTTCCATGGGCACCTCTTCTGTTACCAGAACTCTGTGGACCTAGATTTAGTTTGTCCAAACAGTTAGAACACTTGTAAATATATGTTATTTCTTTTTATAACATACCATGTAAAATATAGATGTCACAGACTTAGAGTGCTTGAAAATATATGTTGTTGTTTTTTATAAACTATCATGCAAAATATAGCTGTCACAGACTTAGAGCAAAAGGATTGTTGTTGTTTTTTCCCTTCTATTTTTTTGCTTTGTTTATATTTATTCTAATTAGCGCTTTTTTTTTTTTTGCCCCAGTTGGCTTCCACAAGTTTCAGTGAATTTCATATGTAAATACTATGATGTTTTACAAGAGAGCTCAAATGATATGTTTTGTTTACTTTTACTTTTTTAGTGATTTATAATCAATGTATAAGATACCAGCTTGAATTTTCTCAGTTTATTTTGCTTTCTTTTAGGAAAAAGGAGATGTTTATGTAATCCTTTGAGGTACAGAGAACTCAGATATGACATTTGAGTTACTATATTTTGATATTTAATCTTTAGACTCCCTAAATATTTTTTGTTTCTTAATCTATTTTTCCACTCATTTCCTTCTGTACATTGGGAGCTATTTCTTTCTCAGACACATCAGCTATGTGTTCATACAGATAAAATGCAGTTACTCTGTTCATAGACCACAGGCCATACGTGAGATTTTTGTCTTATTTGTACATGACTGATCTACATTCATTCCCTTATATGGGAGGGCTGGCTGGCCTAACTTGGCTGAAAAACAGCATAGAGCACCATAAAAGAAACTCATTAACTGATATAAATACCAGTTATGAAAATTAAAATAATCTAGTTCTTCATTCACAGGTTAGATGCAGCAATTGGAAACTTGCCTGTATTATAACTTTGCATCACAGGGTTAGAGAGATCACGGACATCCACTACATTATCTATTTGCATCATTCTAAGTATTATATGGGGGCTCTTCCAAGTATTAAGTACTATCTGTGACATACCAACTATGAAGACCAAATCAGTCAGCTATGAAATCCCTTCTTTCTGAAGCTCTCTTAGTTAGTGTCTTTGCAGTTTTGAAAGGAAGGCACCAATGAACAATACAGCATGTGAAAGTTGAATTTGAAAGTTTGATTCTTATACTGAGAGAATTAATAACACAAATTTAAACAAAGCATTGATTTAGGCTCACCTAAGAAATTGATGTTGAAAGGAGATTTGCATGAGACTTTACTTGTAGTGGAGCCAGCTCGAAGCTACCTGCTTCCTAATTTTTAACTGCACCTGGATTTTATTTTAGCCCTTCAAAAGTTGAATTAGAAAGTGGCAATTTTATGAAATCATAGTATAGGCATCAATCACAAATTAACTTTTTATAGTGAGATTCATTAATTGGTCTATAATCAGTTATCCCTAGTGTGTGACCATTAATTATTTGTTGAACTAATTGGCACGTTGTTTAATGAAGATAACAAGTCTCTTTCTGAATGTGCATTTTGGGATCCTATATTCATTTTACATTTTCATCATTTTTGTGGTGTGTGCATGTATACTTAGTTTCATCTTGATTTTTTACTATTTAATATATACCTCCTTTATGGACGTTCATTTTCAGAAACAAGAATAATTTTCTGTTGATGAAAACTTTGGTTATTTGTCTTCACCTGTCATTTCAGGACTGAAAATAATTAGATGGTGACCCAATTTTAGCTAATTAAGGATATGTTTTTGCCATTTGAAAATAAAACTGTTATTTAAAGTTCTGTCATTCATGTTTCCTGCAGTTTAAAAAAGATGAGCAAAGCAAAGACTCTACCTTCTTCCGAGATGGGGTGAGGCAAATCGATTTTGTGCTTTCCTATGTTGATGATGTAAAGAAAGAAACGGACTTAAAGGTGGTAAGTATTTCGTGAAAGAAATGGGAATTTAAAAAGCACATTCTGTAATTGGACAGGGATGTTCCCAATGAATTATATCGGAGAAGTTAGAGGCCTCTGAAGGGTTACTGAAAGCTAAACCTGGTTAAGAAGGCTACAACATATGCAACTAAGAATGGATGTGTAAATTCAGGTTTATTTTTTGGACATTTTGGGCACTAACTTTCTTCTTAGAAGTTACTGATATGTTTTTAGTTTTTGACTCTTTTATTATTATTATTATTATTATTATTATTATTATTATAATTTTTAATCCTCACTTGAGGATATTTTTTCCATTGCTTTTCAGAGAGAGTGGAAGAGAGAGAAACATTGATGTGAGAGACACATTGATTGGTTGCCTTCCGCACTTGCCTCATCTGTGCCTGGGAATCGCGTCTGCAGCTGAGGCACATGCCCTTGACCAGAATGGAGCCTGCGACCCTTCAGTCTGTGGGCTGACACTCTAGCCACTGAGCCAAACCAGTCAGGGCAATTACCGATACATTTTTATATAGTTTACCTTAAATAGTAAATGAGACCTCTAAGATTTGAGTTGTATGCTAAATATATACATATATATGTCTTTTGAATGCAATTTTCATTTCAGTTTTCATTAATCCACTCTGTCTGAAGTAGTCTTTAGATTAGGCTCTGTTTCTTATCCTATTTTCTTTTTTTATTGGTGTTAGAGAGAAAGGGAGAGGGAGGGAGAGAGGGAAACATCAAGCGAGAAAGAATCATTGATCGGCTGCCTCCCAAACGCTCCGTGACTGGGATTCTAGCCCTGCAACTTGGTCATGTGCCCCGATGAGGAATCAAGTTGGTGACCTTTCGCTGCACGGGACGTCGCTCAGCCAGCTAAGCCGCATGGGCCAGGGCCTGATACAGTATTTTTAACGCCCCTCTCCCTTTCTTGGGTTTCCTGCTTGCCTTATTTTGGTAGTATAGAAGGGCAACTATGAAAGGGTAGCTGAGAAAGGAGAACTTGCACCACTCTCACAGGCCTGCTCTCTGATGTAGTAAACATGTAGTAAACATTGGAAGAGGTGGAAAAAGACACATTAAAATTACCTTTTATTCCTTGTAAAGTTTGATTATATCTCAGGGTAGACATATCAATTTGAAGATGAGTGTTCTCTAATATCCTAATGAAGCCTTTTAAAATTTCAGTTATGAATTTTTTTCTCAATTAAATCATAATTAAAACCAAACTTTTTTCAGCAATCAGTGCATAGCTTTGAAGCCCACAAGTAATGATTATTTACATTTACAATTTAATTTTACTTTTTCTGAGTGAAGCTGTTCTATTTTTTAAGATTAAAAGGTCATGATGATATTGTGGCTTAAAATTGTATTAAGTATCCCATTTATTTGAAGGATACTGATAGCTTTGTAATACTATGTCTTCCCAACTAGGAGCATGATCTGTTTGTTTATTTATTGTTTTTTTAACGTTATTTAGTAAAGTTTTGTACATTTTTTTCAGGTAGAGATCCTGTATATTTCCTGGAGATTATTCCTAGATATATTGGCTTGTTCTAGTTATATTGCAAATTATAGTCCAGGTGAAAAGCAGCACGTGGCACTGAGATATGGGGGTAATACACAGAGTACGTACATGAAACCATGGGAGGGACAGAGAACCATGTAAGGTGCAGTTGTCGTATGACAAGTCTGTTTATCACCGTGTGAATAAAAGTGTTCTACATAATTCTATTGATTGGTTTTTCCATAGGAAAGAAGAAAAGAGTTTGAACAAAATCTCAGAAAAACAGGCCTGGAGTTGGAAATTGAAGACAAAATGGTAAAAGTAGTTAATTTATACCAGAATCTTGATGTTTTAAGTGTTCTATTTTTCTACTCTGGCCTTTGACTAGATAAACTTTGTGCTTGGGAGCAATACATTAGTTTTTTGGGGGGCTACAGATGGGTGCACTGGGAATGGTAATACCTGTGGTTGTTCAGGTAAGTTGGTCTTTTCTCTGTGAGATAATGAGTGGAATACTTTAAAAATAGACATAAATAATTCTATTCAGGACACAAGGAAAGTGAAGATGTGGTTTTTCACATCTGTCTCATTTTGAAGGCTGCCTGTAATCTGGCACCCAGTCTAGTTTACCTGGCTAACTTGTAGCACAACTGATATTTAAGCCATGGAACTTTTTCTGCTCATGAATATCTTTTTTTTTTTTTAACCCCCTATCATTTACGAGTTTCCTAGACTTTCCTTCAGAATTGTTCTTCAAGACATATTTAAGTTTCTAGTCTGTTCATGAAACTCAAATACTCTCCAGTTCTAACTAAACACTCTTTAGTTCTTATTTATCCCTGTTTTTACTCAACTAATAAGTATGTATGATAGCACGCACTCTATAACATAATTGTTATCCTGTTTAATGAACCCTTACTATTAAAGTTCTTCCTCTAGGTGTAGGCTGTACATAGAAGCTAGGTAAAAAGAGTGACTGCATCTTATACTTTGTGCATGTCCTGCATATACCCTAATGGCAGTTTTGAGTGCATGGCTAGTTGCTAAATAAATACTTAAGAGATTGCCCAGAACACACATGCATCTGTGGATTTCAGGCTAGTGTACATTGACCCTGAAATGTACTTTAAAGTATGTCCTATCTTTGCTCCTCTCTTTCTCTCTCTCCCCCCCATACACACACACATATATAAAGCATATACATACCTGTATATGTAAATATAATGTGCAGTATATAACTGTTTTGAGCATTTGTTCTTCTAAAAGTTTTGCTGAAAAATTTCAATCAGTTGAAAATGCTGTGATATCTTTAATTTGTTCATGATTTTTATACAACTTTCTTTTTCTCAGTTTGCTCGGTAATGAACAGATTAGTAAGCTTTCTGTTATTTTGCCCCCTTTTTATACAGAACTCTGAAGATGGAAGAACTTACTTTGTCAAGATCCATGCCCCTTGGGAGGTGTTAGTGACTTACGCTGAAGTGCTGGGAATCAAAATGCCTATTAAAGAGAGTGATATTCCCCGACCTGAGACCTTCTCCTTTAACTGTATGCTTGGTCCTCTGAAGCTCGCAAGGAACGTGAAGTATCCTCACCCTGAGTATTTCACTGCCCAGTTCACCAGACATCGCCAGGAACTCTTCCTCATCGATGACCAGTCAACCTTCTTCCCATCCTCGTCAAGAAACAGAATTGTAGGTAGAGAGGACCTTGGGGCACATGCCTTCAAGGAAGGGATGTGTGCATGTGCAATACTATGTCTTCAGGGTATTTCTGTGTGCATTTTGATCATTTATATAGTGGTATTGGGTGGGTTTGAAAGTCTACCTGGACCACTTAAATGTGTTAACCTCACTACTTCTCAATGTGTTGTTGAAAAATGAATGGTTGACATGGTGGACATAGTAAAGAAAGAGGCATCGTGCAATACTGGGGAAAGCATTTAATTGAGATACAGGACTTAGAGATTTTATACGATCTTTGCAAAATGGTTTTATGATCTTAGAGTTTGGTTTGTAAATTCAGTGCATAGTAGGAGGAATATTGGTTATTCCAAATGGAAATTGAATTTTTAAATTTCTTTATATATAGATAATATTTGAGACACCACAGAATTTTTTCTTTTCATTAAAACCATTTTCAGTCTTTTGAATAATATTTCTTCTCAATTTGTAGTCTTAGTACCTTTAAGTTTACCATTAAAAACCTCTCTCTGAAAGAATCATGGTGTCTGTGCCATAGTTTCTTCTTGTTAAAATGGGAATAATATCTACCTCATAGGTTAGTTACCCTGGGAATTAACTGAGTTTAGGTATGAAAGCTTTGAATAGTTTCTGGAACATACTAACTAAGTACTCAATAAGTGTTAGATATTATTATTATTGATGCGATTTTAGAGGAAAAAATTCAGGTTCTTTGTCACTCTTACCCCTTTTATCTGTGGCCTGTTGATGTAATTACCAGGGTTCTAGCAATCCCATGACCCTTCCCCCTGACTTGACTTAAACTCTGTTTCCCTGAGCAGTTGGAGGCTTCATTCCGTTCAGGGTCAGTACTCTGAAGTGTCAGAGAAGGATTTTGAAATAGTCATTGTTTTTAATTCGTACCTCTGTGTTTTAAAAATTCACTGACAGGAATATAATGTCTAGAATTCATGTATAAAAGTGTGAATCTACAAACTAAAAACTGCCCCTTCCCCCATTTTTTCTTAACCAGGATTAAAAAAACAACAAAAACCCTAGGAAGCAACCTATAAGAGAATAAATAAAGTGCACATAGCATGGAATCAGAAAACCTGGTTTCAGGTCATGACTCTGCTTCCTTCTAAAGGACATAACGTCTCTTAAAATAGAGATAATGATGATACTGGAATTATTGGGAGAATGAAACGAAAGAATGTATATGAGACACTTTGCGAACTGTAAAGTTCTTCAGATATCCTTGTTACATTCAAAAGTTGCTAACAAAAGGCCAGTGAATCTGTAGGAACAAATTAGGAATGATCAGGAGTGGAAATGTCAATATTATTTATCTTTAGTTGTTTGTAAAGAGTGTCAGTGCCTTAGGTTAATTTAGCACTAAAGCACAGCAGTTTCCCCTCGTGGAGCAGCACTGTTCTTGCTCTGTCGAGGAAGCTGTTTGGGAGGCTAATGAAGTCCCTTCCTTCCTGGTCTCATCCCAAACACTATAGTTTATATATGTACAAATTGAACAGTATTACAAGAGCATTTTACATTGGTATAGAATTTTTTTACTTTTTTTGTTTTTCAAACCTCACCCGAGGATATTTTTTCCATTGCTTTTCAGAGAGAGGGGAAGACAGAACTCGATGTGAGAGAGACACAGTGATTGATTGGTTGCCTCCCGCACATGTCCCAACTAGGGCTGGGGATCAAACCTGCAACGGAGGTACGTGCCCTTGGCTGGAATCAAACCCTGGACCCTTCAGTCCATGGGCCAATGCTCTCTAACCACTGAGCAAAACTGGCCAGGGCAGAATTTTTTGCTTCTTAAAGTATCTTCAGAACCATCACAACATATGCCCCTCACAATGTGTATTTTGTAACATCTTATATAGATGTAATTTTATTAAACATTTCCACTTTTTACAGCTATTGAGTTTGTTTCCAACTTTTCTGATACTACAAACAGTTCTGCAGTTTACAACCTAGCATTTACATATTTCAACACATATGTAAATTTTTCTGCAAAATGGGTAACCACATATAAAATTTCTGGACTTAAAGGCATGCATATTTAAAATTTTGTACTTATTGCACTTCACGCTTTATAAAAAGATGTCTTAATTTAGAGTCCTAGTAACAGACATAGAGACAGACCCACAAGTTATGAGTGTACACCTCACTGAATTATGACAAAGTGCACAGACATGTAAGCACCACCCATATCAAAAGAGAAAATCTTTCTAGCGCCCCAGAAGCCCTGGTGCCTTCTCCCAATCACCATTCCTATTCTCTTTGGCAGAGGTAAACTCTTCACAGCAGAGATCAGTTTAGCCTGTTTTTAAATTTAAGACAAAGAATCATATAGCATTTGGCTCAGCATTTATTTGAATGGTTAACTTAGCTTGTATGAGCTTCTGTCCATTCATTTGTGTTGCTTTGTATGGAAATTTATTTGTGTATGTGTTATTATGGTTTTAACTTGCATTTCTCTGATAGGAAGGAGATGAGCTCCTTGTATGTTTATTGGACACTTAGATAAGCACTTTCCTGAAATTCCTGTTAAAGTCTCTTGTCTGTTTTACAATTAGGCCTTCCCTTGTTGATTTGTAACAACTGTTTATTATATATTGTACTGATCTTTTCCTACATTGTGCTTCCCTTTTTTTTCTCTTAGTGGGTTCTTTTGGTAAACAGATGTTTTTCATTTTAATGTGGTCCATTTTCTCAAGCCTTTACTTTATGAATAATGCTCTTGAACTTTACCATCAAGATCACGAAGTTAATTTCCTGTATTCTAGGAGTTGTACTATTTTGCTTTTCACGTTGAGAACTACTATCTACCTGGAATTAATTTTTGTGCATGGGGTGAGATGTAGTCCATTTCCCCCCATATGTGTAGTCATTTAACTTGCTCCAGTTACTGAAAACATTCAATAGTTTGTTTATACTATCTTACAGTTCTACCTTTGTCATAATTGAAGTACCTATATAGTCATAGGTCTACTGCTGGACTTGACTGTGTGGCTTTGACCTCTTTGTCTATTTTTGTATCAATACTGACCATGTGGAACTTTACCTGAGTTCTGTAGTCCTGGAAACCAAGGATGGTTAAAGGGACGCCCCTCCCTCCCCCGAGTCTTCTCATTCTGAGAAACTGCTAACTATAGAGAACCACCCTTTCCCATATGACTTAAAGATTATTCATAACCACGCCCCCTTCCTACTCTGACTTGACAGAGCCATTTGCCACATTGTTCATCCTAAATTTACCTGGTAATTGAAGTGTTTGTCTGGGTTAGTTGTCTTTATCCAAAAAATAAAGCTTCTCATGTATCTCTATGTCTAGCCCATCATTACAACTGGGAGTCACAGAGACAGGAAGACAGGGATGCTATCTTTCTTGATGTTTACATTTAAAAGAGAAAGCACTGAGAAATTTTAAGAAAAACACTCCTGGGTTGTAAAACTAGCAATAGGCTTAATTAGCTTTTAAAAAGACTTATATACATCAAAGGGATAGAGAAAGAATTTATAATTACAAGTACTCTATAGGAAATGCTCTAAGAAAAGGGAGTAGGAGGAAGTCTCAGTTCCTTTTGGCACCAGGGAAATTTCCATTCTTATGCACCTATAGTGCCCTTATGATTGCTCCCCTTTGTATTATTTTATAGTAATAAGGGACAGACTCAGGCCCTCCACATTCCCATTCTTTGTTTCATGAATGTTTAGCTGAATTATTCATCCCCATTGATTCATAAAAACAAAATACATGTTAGCTGCAGTGATCACACTTTAATGAAACTTCTTTCTTCCCCATAGGACCCTAAACTTTGACTCACCCTCAACCTAAGCCAATGTTGGCATGTAGCGTAGCCCTCACTTAACACAAAGAAAGCTACTCCCTGAACCTGGCTTCTTTCTCCCTGTAAAAGAAAAGCCCTTTTCTGACTAGCTTTGCAGATGTTTACATGTCTCCCCATTGCAATAGTTCACCTCACCCTCTTACAATAATCTTATCCAATACAAATTTTGCTAAGTCTGGATTTGTTTTTATTTGGCAATACCATGCTGAATTTATTACCGTAGTTTTATAATAAGTCTTAATACCTGGTAGAGTATAATTTTCCATTTTGTGAACACCCCATGACAGAGTTCTTATTTTGGTGAATCTTTCCTAAGAAATAACTCAAAGTATGTAGAATATGTAATACTTAACACATTATTTATAAAAATTAAAATTGCCTTACATAAATTATGATTTATTGATCAAGGGGGAATATTAAGCTTGTCCGTAAAGTGAGCAACCAGATAATGGTGGTGCAGGAACAACAACCATTCCAATCAACAGTTTCTTAAATGATGAAATATAAAAAGGGGAAAGGGAAATACATCTAAAATAGTACTAAAATGATCCAGTTCACCAATCAGAAAAGCAGAAATTCTGAAAAGTTGGCCGGAACACAAAAAGCAGGTAAGATTGAACTGACAGAAATACAAGAGCTGAGGCCACCAAAGTCCATATTATATGGAGGAGAAACCCGATATAGAGATGTAAGTGATCGCAAAATAGTTATAGATACGATACACCCAGTTAATAAATTCAGATGATAGGAAAATTACATTAATTTTATTAATTGAATTCTTCATTTAATTCCTCTGATAATTAAATCCATACCCTCCATAAATTATCAGAGTAATTAAATGAAGAGGCGTTCAAAGCAGCTTGCCCAAGCGCCAACTCTATTCTTTATTCCCCTAATGGAACTGTTAGCAGTGATACTAGACTCCAGCTTGGAGCCCTAATTGCAGTAGGAATTCTGGCACAGGAGCCTTCCAGAGGAGCTTGGGACAGGAGAAGCAAAATAAGTTATGACTCGTTCTCTGCTCTCCCCAAGGAAATAGGGGGCTTTCATTCCCAGGAGCTGGAATAGCTGCAAACTCCACATAGCCCCACCTTCCACACCTTCCCCCAAACAACAAAGGGAAGGGTCCTTCTGTAACCGGAGTTCCTGTCTACGTTCCGACAAAGCAGACAGTGTTAAATTGTGGTTGGGGAAAAATGCGGCAAGCCTGAAGTTGTGAAACGGGTGTCTCTTTCTGCTCCCCTTTCAGGTTTATTATATTCTGTCGCGATGTCCTTTCGGCATAGAAGACGGGAAGAAAAAGATTGGGATTGAGCGACTGCTAACTTCCTACACTTACTCGGCTGCCTTTCCACTCCATGATGTAAGTGTTAGCTTGGCTTTGAAATTTGGAAACCGTTTCCCCTCTCACACGTTCAGAGGTGGTCTTGCTGGGGGAGAGAATCTTCCATTTGCTTTCTCTTTTTGGACAGGTTGCTTAATTCTCTCACATGTTGGGAAGATCCCCACAGGCTCCCTAGTTCTAAGCTACAAGTTTTACCAGCGATGCTGAAACACAGAGTTTATACCTCTTCACACTGAAGTTTCAACGGAAATTCATTTTGGGAAAACGATTGCATCTGCACGTGATTTTTCTTTAGGACACATACTGAAAAGAGCAGTGATAGGAAAAGAAGGTTTTAGAACATAATATTTGGAATTTCTATCTGAATCCATCAGATCTTTTCTCATAAAGTTTTAGAGCTGTAAAGGACTTAAATTATATGCATACATTAAATGCATTCACGTATTCATTCGTCAAAGGCATGATTTGTTTATATGTAAAGCATCCTGTTAGGTATTGTTGGAACACATCCATGAATCGCTCACAGACTAGGAGTTTCTGGGATATAAAGCATGTGTACAACTTCAAAACAAGGTAAAACTCCAGTCCATGAGAAAGATTCAGACAAATAATTGACATTCAGAAGAATGATTCCTTGAGGCTGTTGGATCATTGAACAAAATTATTGAGCTTCATGTGATCAACAAGGAAGTGACATTTTACATGATGTCCCTGTTCAACCAAACCTGAAAGCTTGACAGCCTAGTTTCTGGGGGTTTCTGAGGAGAACTTTTCCTTTTAGATATTACACGTCTGGATCTCACTGTCCGTTGGCAGTGGACATCATATGGCTAAACAGATATAAACAATTTTGACACCATCCCTTGGAACTTCTGTTTCTTTTATTTCTGTTTTATTTTTCCCATACTAATAGAAGACTTTTCAATGACATGCTCTCTTTTCGAGAAACACATTCCTTAGGAATATAGAAGAACCAAGTATTTCCACTTAAACAAGTGGCATCTAAATCATCGCTCGTATTTTCGCAGGTAATGTTGCAGTAGTAGTTTCCAAAAGCCCAAAGCCAAGCTCTGTCTTTTCCAGGATGTAAACTGTTGTGCCAGTTTCCTCTGCCAGCATCCATTCACCAGCGTGGTCCTTGACTCTAGTCAGTTCAACACTGGTTAGCTGATTATCTGTGGTGGTCTTCCTATGAGGGTACAGCAGAATTTTCCAAAATGAATAGCTGTTTTCAACGAGGGTGTCAGCTCAGGTGAAGCCATCCTCCCCACCCCTTCAACCATCGCCCTTTACCCCTCCCCCATGTTTTTCCCTGGGGCAAAATAACTTCTAGAAGATTATGGGTTCTAAAAAGTGCCATGGGCATAAAATAGAGAGATCTATAGTGGGTTAGTAACACTGGCAATGCATTCTTTGTCAATCACTTTTCGCAACGGGCTCATTCAGTTTTTGAAAATTTTGAGGATTGCATATTTGTTCTTAGGGCATTGGTTCTCTTCTTCATATTTCCAGGTCATAAAGCCAAACTAAAAAGACCAAATATCCTCAGGCACCAGAAATTTTAATCCTTATGTCTAGCCTTTCAGCAGAATCCTTTATGCTTATTGGAAAATCAGTGTTACTGAGCGGTTGTTGGAGAGAGCTTTAAGTTACTGTTAATTTTACTTTTTCTTTCTTTCCTTTCCTCTGAATTCAAGCTTAGGTACTGGATTGTCCCTTAATGTACTTTAAAGAATCATGTTTCCAGATACGCAAATAGGCTGGGTTTTTGTTTTTTTGTTTTCCATTTCAATTCTCAAGATTCAGTAGGATTAGCTACAGAAGAAGAAAACTGTTGGCATCTGGATGCCATAAGATGTCATCACCTAATACGGAGATCTTCACATGTGCTTCATTTTAAATTGGGTATCTAGTCAATGTTGTCTTTAGCAGTTCACTTGTCCAGGGAGCAGACACGGAGAAGGCCCTGAGTGGCTGTTCAGGCGGGGCTCTGCTGGGTCCTGAAGGTGCCCCGTGCTTCCTAACTCGAAAGAACTTCGGCCTGAAACAGTGCTGAGACTCTTCAGTGCTAAAGTTTGTCGTATATATTTTAAATTCCTTAGGAAGTGGATATCAGTGAGGACAAGACAGGTTCCCTAGAGGAGATTCCTGTCTTAGTAGTATGACTTTGGATCACTCATTTAACTTCTCTTGGGGTTTATTTTTCAGTCTCTACGATAAAAGTATTAGCTTATTTCTGAAGTCCCAGCCACTTATATAGCCATATGAATCCCCGAGCTATGAATATTATGTTGGGTGTAAGTAGAGAAGAAAGGGCATGTCCTGGTGACAGGAAAGCTGGAGTAAAGCCAATGCCTCAAACTTTAAACTTGTGTTATTAAATACGTGAGTGTGAGAATTTAATTTTAAAAAAATCACTATTATTATAGTTTATTATAGATTTTAGTAAATAATTTTACATGAACGGAATAGGAATATCCAAGTCTAACAGAAAGAACATTTGCCTGTTTCACTGACCTCCTAAAAGCAGTGTTGGTTTACTTGTCACCCTCCTCCGCTTTGTCTTTCACACGCTTTCTTCTTGATTATCTGTAGGGTCAATATTGGAAGCCATCGGAACCTCCTAATCCTGTCAATGAAAGGTACACACTTTTCCAGAATTGGGCTCGGTTTTCCTATTTTTACAAGGAGCAGCCTTTAGACTTGATTAGGTAAGTTTTTTATGATGTTTAAAACTTGATCATGTGATTTTTATTTACAATGGCATCACATGCCATTCTTTTTACTATTCTCACCCGCTACACTGTACACCTTCCCAGTTTTGTATCTACACTATCATTTAGTCATTCATTTGTGAACACAGTGCTGTTACCACAATGCTGTTAACCACCCTGCAGAAGTAGCTCAGTGGTTCAGAGGTTGGGCTTTGGTATTTAGGCAGGCTGGGTTCAAATCCAGGTTTTCCCTCCTAGAAGCAATCTGAACTTGTTCAAGTTACTTAACCTCTATGAGGCTCATCTATAAAATGGGAATAACAGCAGACTTTCTTTATGGGGTTACTTGATTATTAAGTGAGATATACTTTTTTTAGCATAGGATCCAGCACTTATTGCTTAATATATAATGTTTTGTTTTCCTCTCAGTCCAGAAATTTAGAAGATCGCAGAAAGCTTGTGTATGGATGTGTGTGTGTGTGTGTCTGTGTGTGTCTCAGAGAATTGTGAATACAATTGTTCTGTAACCTCATTTTTTTTCTCTTGTATCTTTGGACTCAGGCAATTAACAGCGTAGTGTCTGAGCCTGTCTGTGTTCCATGCTCTCAGACAACTTCTCGGACAGTTTTATTAGCTTAGCAAGAAGACTATGGCTGCAGGCTTCTTCTTTGAACCATTACAATACTACATACATACAGGATGTTAGGAGACACCTACTGTGATTTCAGTAAAGGGATAATCAGATTAGAACTGTTCACTTGGTGACTTATGCTTCTACCGAGATACTTACACAGCATCACAGCAGCCTTTTTAGAAGACTGATTTAGATGCATACACCCAAATCAGTTGAAATGCTGTCGCAAGTTTTCTCTAAGGCAAATAAGGGGAAACTTAAGAATAGAAGGCAGCTGGAGTATATAAACCAATGCTTTCTGTAAATCATTATATGAACTTTTTGTTTTTGAGGACTTTTTTTTAATTCTCAAGGAAAGAGATTCTTGCTATTTGAAAGGGAGGAAAATGTAATTCTTTAAAAATAAGGTTGTTGAAATACGCAGTTTTTTTACGAATTCTTGAAGAATTTTTACAGTAATATTGTTGCCTAACCTTCAAAAATGATTGATTCTGTCATTTTTAAAACATCAAATGGAAATAGACATGGTGAATAGTAAATGCCACAAAATCAAATATTTTTTTCCTCTTTTAAAAAAAGTTTGATGGTATGCGGTATTACAATAATTGCTGTTTTTTCCTGCAAAAACAAAAAAAGGAGGAAAGCAAGTTCACTCATCCTAAGTGTGAATGAAACCTCAGGAAGTTAGGATGACAAATAACAAGAGAATATGATAGAATTATAATTTAATTTCCAGTTTATAGTGATTTGAAGAACTGGACAGGGAACAACAGCAATGCAGAATACATTTATCACTGAAAAGAATGAAAGAGGGTACAAGCAGTAAGACGCCTGTTTAATTAGAAATGATTAGCAATTTTAAAAACTGAAGAGTGGGAGGTTAAATAAAATTAATACTGAGTATGAGAAAAATATTCTACAATCTTCTCATTGGGAAATTAAGCTTATATCTTTATTTCCAGAGTTGCCTTCCTTTTGAAATTGCAATTTAATATTCTTTGCTGTAATAGATTTATATATAGTATGCTATTAGGAAACTGTGGAAAGAATTTATGGATTTGGTGAGCTGTTCTATGTTCCCTGGTTTCTTGAGGGATTTCTTAAGGGGTACTGGGTTCAAAAAAACAGCCACAATCAAAAGTTGGCCTGGGACTTGAGCATGTATGCCAAGTAGTGCTGTATTTTTCACCTCTTTGTAAACAAGAGCTGAACTGTATATTTTATGGAACTTGTACTCAACGGTCACTTTTAATTCCTTGGTGTGCCGCCTACCTCACAATTCTGTAAGGATCCAACAGAGATCCAAACTTGGAGGGAGATAGAGTTTTATACATACAATTACTCTTGCCTAATACGTGGTCAGCGTACCTTCTTCAGTTTTAGAAAGAGAGAGAAAGCAAAAGTCTGTGCAGATGGTGCACAGAATTTCCATTTGTTAAGTCAATTGCTAGAAGTTACATTGCAGAATGTTCCCCAGTTTATTTCTAACATGTCAACTCTTTAAATTTAGATTTCTGTATTATTTCAAAATAAAACTTAACCTTCACTCAGTTGGCTTCCTTCTTAGATGTGTTGTCTCTTTTAATCCTTACACCAATTCTTTGGATAAACATCATCCTGCATTTTATGGTGTGGAAACTAAAGTTTAGAGAGTTTAGTAACTTTACCAAGATTATACGTCTAGAAAGCTGAGGAGCCTAAATTAGAATACAGGCTTGTGTGAATGTAAAACAAAGGCTGTCTGGACTGTGCCATTCTTCCAACCTCTGATTCTATCTTTACCCTCTTTTATAGGAATTATTTTGGAGAAAAAATTGGCATGTATTTTGTCTTTCTCGGATTCTACACAGAAATGCTGTTCTTTGCAGCTATAGTTGGCTTAGCTTGTTTTATTTATGGCTTATTTTCAATGCATAATAGCACAAGCAGGTAAGTGCAGCCGAGTTGCCTAGGCAGAGAAAATGTTTTGATCTTATGCTAATTGAAACTGCTGTTATGTTTCCTGGCATTTGTTTCAGAATGTTTTTGTTTTTTTAAAATATATTTTTATTGATTTCAGAGAGAGGAAGGGAGAAGAGAGAGATAGAAACACCAATGATGAGTGATTGATTGGCTGCCTCCTGCACGCCTCCTACTGGGGCTCGAGCCCACAACCCAGGCATGTGCCCTGACCAGGAATCATACCATGACCGCTTGGTTTATAGGTTGATGCTCAAACACTGAGCAACATTGGCCAGTCGAGAATGTTTCTTTATGGCAGCAGATAATTGATATTTCTGGAAAAATACCCCAAGCAGCTGCCCCTCACTGGGTGCTTTATGAAAAAATCTGTTTTTAAGGACTAGTTCTAAAGATTCTGTTCCTCAAAGCATGGCTTGACCTAGGACAGAAATTGCTGCCCCATTCCCCTTCTGCCATATGTGAGAAGCTATATGAACAGTTGTGTTGATAAGAATAGCTTCGGACTCTCACCCAACACACATCACTTAAATAACCTTGCTGTTCCCTCTGCAGCACTGAAATCTGTGACCCTGAGATTGGAGGTCAAATTATCATGTGCCCACTCTGTGATGTAGTGTGTGATTATTGGAGACTAAATTCTACATGTTTGTCTTCAAAGGTATGGATGTATTTTGGTAGATTGAAAAGATTTGGAATTTCCCTCCTTTTGCATTGCATTTGAAACTAAGTAGTCTGTGTAATGTTATTTTTGTGTTTACAGGTCTCTTATTTATTTGATAATGAGTCAACAGTGTTTTTTGCAATATTCATGGGAATTTGGGGTGAGTATGTAGTCACATAAAAAACAGCTGTCTCCATGTTCTGTGTTATATGGTCTGTCTCTATAACATCCCGAAGGTGATTTTAGGCCTTTGTGCTAGAATCAGTACCCCGATGGGGTACACATCAGTGGTCTTTAGTCCTTGGTCCTTGATCAAAAAAAAAAAAAAAAAAGCCTCTAGTAATCATCTGCTCCTTTCTCTGAGAGACAACATAATTTTTGAAAGCTTATATGTGTTCAACTGACATTATCTCCCAGGACTATGGTAAAAAGCAGGGTCAATTAAGCAGTTAACTCAGGAGAGAATAAACACATTTGGTGGCTAGAGGATATTGAGTCATGGATGCAAACTAGAATAAAAATTTTAAAAAGTTATAGAGTGCTAATAAGTCGGTACTTGAGTCTGAGTTTTCTGTGGCTAATTCTAGTGCCTGTTTCCAGGTCTATTTGATAAAAATGTTCCATATAAAGTAGAAAGGCCCTTAATTTTGGAAATGTTCCAGGATTTCATCTTTGCATCTCACACGGGAAGTAGAAGTGTTATTGAAGTTGCTCCTGCCATCAGATAGGACAAATATTTTCTGTAAGAGTAACTCAGCAAGGGGAGACCTGCAGACTTCTGAAACATGTCTCAAAATTCAGAGGACTCTGGGGGAAAAATAGATTTTCTTTACAATTAAAAAAGAATCATCAGCAAACAAACATACGCACTTAAAAACTGGGCAAAGGGCAAGGATAGCTTGATCCAAGAAGACAGCAAAATGTGTCGGCGTGTATGTGAAGCAGAGGGATTTAAGGGTTCCTGTCGCTTCTGCCTGGCTGCTATGGTCTGAAGAGAGCAGCACAGATTCAAAGAGAAAAGGAAAGAGAAATGTTACTAACAATTCTCCCGCAACCCCAAGTTTGGGAAGTTGGGATATGTACTCTCTTCATTATGTGGCTGCCAAATCCTGCCTCTGTCACTAATTGGAATCGGAAGTGAACGATGGGTGCACAGATTTAAACATATGTAGTAGTTTTCAGTTGTTTCCATTGAGAGAGATTGTGCACCAACACCAACCCTATATTTCATCACAAATAGAGGAGCAACCATATGTGGAACTCCCAGCAGCACTGTGTTTTTAGGAGGTGCTATCATCAGTTAGTTCTTTCAGAAAAGTTTATTGTAGCAGTGAATTGATTAAGCTTCAGTTTTTGAGGATCTGGTCCAACTTTCAGGAAAACAGAACTTCGGGGATATTTGTTTTAGTACAGATACTAATTAACAGTTAATTAGTAATTCAGCTAATTAACAGTTAAGCTGAATCAAAGGATGAGTTGGCAGAGGAGATGGGAAGAAACAACACTTGTCCAAGGGATTGAGACATGAAAAAAATAATGCATATTAGGCTTTGTACTGAAGGGTAGAAATGCTTTAACAATATTTTTGGCTGGTTTATAAGGAAAATATATACCCATGTTAGGAACCTAAAGCAGTATATTGAAACAGCAAGAAAATAATGTTAAAATCACCAGAAATAGAATCATTATCTTGGCCATGATTTTTCAGAATCTTTTACTCTACCTATGTGGCATGTGCGTTCATATAACTTTACATAAATGGTATAATATTATACATAGTTTTAAGCCTATTTTTTAATAGAACAAACAGTGAATGGGACTCCTTTTGTAGCAATGAATATGTGTATGTGTTGTGTGTGTGTATGTTTATGTATTTATAACTGAATAGAACTGTCTTTTATAAACTTACCGCAGTTTATTTATCCAGTTGTCTGTTGTTGGACATTTAGTTTATTTTCACTTTTCCCTCCTAGTTTCATTGAGATATAATTGACATATAATATTTTATTAGTTTAAAGTGTACAATATAATGATTTGATATATGTATGTATATATTGTGAAATGATTACTACAATAAGTTAACATTTATCACCTCACATAGTTACAAATTTTTATTATGAGAACACTTAAGATCCACTCCTAGTAACTTTCAAATATACAACACAGTATTTTTAACTATAGTCACCATGCTATATACATTATATCCCCAGAACTTACTAATCTTATAAATGGACATTTGTAAACCTTTTGACCACTTTCACCCATTTCCCCCACCCCCCTCAACCACCAAACTCTACTATTTCTATGAGTTTGCTTTTTTTCTCTTAAGATTCCACAGTTAAGTGAAACCATACAGTATTTCTCTTTCTCTGTATGACTTACCTTACTTAGCATAATACCCTCGAGGTCCATTCATGTTGTCTCAAGTGGCAGGATCTTCTTTGTTAATGACCGAATAATATTCCATTGTGTATGTTAACTAACTACTTTTTCTTTACCCATTCATCCATTGATGGACACTTAGGTTGTTTTCATGACTTCACTGTTGTGAATAATGCTGCAATGAACATGGAATATATATTTTAGAGAGTAGGGAGAGAATGTGCTGTGAAATGGCTCTTACATTTTTCTTAAATTTTGCTAAGGTATAATGCTTGAATGATTTCGCTAAAATACTGAATAATTTCAGTAGAAGACTGATCTTGCAAACAAAATTTAGGTGTTAGTAAAACATTAAGTTTATATCTTCANTAAGGTATAATGCTTGAATGATTTCGCTAAAATACTGAATAATTTCAGTAGAAGACTGATCTTGCAAACAAAATTTAGGTGTTAGTAAAACATTAAGTTTATGTCTTCAGATTATCTTAATAAAGAGAGTAATTAACCTGATTTTTTTCTTGCATGGATTGCTATCTAAGAAANATCTTCAAATTATCTTAATAAAGAGAGAGAGTAATTAACCTGATTTTTTTCTTGCATGGATTGCTATCTAAGAAATTAACTTGAAATTTTATATACAAGTTATTTCAATGTTATTACATAATTATACCTATATTAAGAATTTTACAATTTTATCATCAAATAATAGTGACAGAAGAGCCATTATGCAGCTAAATTGATATTTAAAAATAGAGGCCCTGGCCTGGTGGCTTTGTTGGTTGGAGTCATCCTATACACCAAAAGGTTGTGGATTTGATTCCCAGTCAGGGCATATACCTAGGTTGCTGGTTCGATCCCTGGTCAGAGCACATAAGGGAGGCAACCATAAGGTTTCTCTCTCTCTCTCTCTGTTTCTCCCTTCCTCTCTCTGAAATCAATAAATACGTATAAAAAATAGAAGACAGTTACTTGGGGTGAAGAACACACAATACAATATACAGATGATATATCATAGAATTGTACATCTGAAACCTATATAACTTTATTTACCAGTGTTGTCCCAATAAATGCAATAAAAAATAAAATAAATCAAAATAGAGGAAAACTCGGTTGTTTTTTCATTCACTTTATTTCTCCATCTCTTGATTATATTTGTTTTTATACACGTATTTTCCTATAGTCACGTTGTTTTTGGAGTTTTGGAAACNCAAAATAGAGGAAAACTCGGTTGTTTTTTCATTCACTTTATTTCTCCATCTCTTGATTATATTTGTGTTTATACACGTATTTTCCTATAGTCACGTTGTTTTTGGAGTTTTGGAAACAGCGTCAAGCCAGACTGGAATATGAGTGGGACCTGGTGGACTTTGAGGAGGAACAGCAGCAACTTCAGCTGAGACCTGAATTTGAAGCTATGTGTAAACATAGGAAAATGAATCCAGTGACTAAGGTAGATTAGGAAGCTGAAACGGGCATCATGTCTCAATGGGCACACTGCTGTAGGTCGTCTCTCAACGATGCGTATTTTAATTTGCCTTTAAAATATTCTCCAACATATAAATCATATAATGATAGCTTATATACTTGTATGATATGTTTCAAACACATATAAAAGTAGATAAAGAAGTCTAATGAACCCCAGGACCTATCACCCAGCTTCAATTAATATTAATTCATGGTTAGTCTTGTTTTATTTATATACCCACTCCTTTTAGCCAATAGATTATTTTGAAGTAAGTCCAAGGCTTCATATCATGAAAGACATTATTTTAATACTAAGTGAAATAAGAGAAAAAGGAAAACTGTGTGTGTATATGCTGGGCTTTAAATATGTGTATAAATATGTATACATGGAAATGAAGTTAATATGCAAAAATTAGATTGGTATTGTATTAAGATAGTGGGGTTATGAGTGATTGTTTTATTAGATCAAATTTTATTCAACTAGTTTCTTTTAACTGATTATAATGGAAAGGTCATTGCACTGCTGTCTGGGGTGAAAGTCTATCCTTTGAGATCCTCAACTGGCAAGCCAGCTATGTGTTGACTGAGTAGTGTGACTGCTTGGCACCTCAGGTTTTTCCATGTGAAAATAGAAGGTACTTTGCCATCAAACACCAGACTAGACTCCTGGCTGCATGTTTTTAGAGTCCCTGCGTTGCCATAACCTGTAACCACTTTGTTAGGAGATGCTGTTAAAGGGAGAATAGAATATGTTTCTAATACAGTCTCTTGAGTAGCATTCCCTCCTCTGTTCAGGACACTCCTCTTGCAGTGTGATACTCAGATTCTTTACATCATTTAGGCATTTATTTGACATTTATTAAATTGCGTAGAAACATTACAAAATTCAGTAAGCGAGTAAAGGGGGAAAAACACCTGAGAAAATAACATTAACAACTTGGGTGACATGAACAGTTTGAAATTACGAGATTATATTCCAGATGATATTGTACTAATGACATTATGTATATCCATACTTCATGGGATAAAANTGAGATTATATTCCAGATGATATTGTCGTACTAATGACATTATGTATATCCATACTTCATGGGATAAAAGAGAAAATAAAAGCAGACCTGTTGGCTGTGCCAAAAATTACTGATATGAAAGCTACATATACTGAATGTTGACTTTTCAAAGCAGTTGAAAAAACAGTATGTGTCGGTTCACTGTGAATCACCCACTTAGTGGTAATGGTTTTGAAATCAGAGATTTTTAATTACTTGCAGTGCATCATTAGTGGTTAAGTACACCCAGAACTCACATTTGAGTCCATACTGGGAACACACACATCCATGTGTGGACACCCATATATATGCACACATCCCTGGGGTTCAGTAGAGTGCTCAGACAGCCTCCTCTACCTGTTGAGTTCTGTTTCCACTCAGTCTGCCCTGAAAAATCCACAGGATATAAAATCTTATATTTTATAGAGAATTATGTGATTTAGATTTCTGCTCATAGCTATTTTTTACCATATGGCACCATTCTTTTGGGTATAATCTAACTATGTAGCTAAGAATGTCAGCTGATACAATTAATATCTTTCATTAATGACTTAAAAAGCTTGAAAATGGAGAAGTCTGGGCCCCGGAACTGTGTGAATGAACACAATCCTTTATAAAGAAGGCATCCTATTTAGTATCCTGCAGAGCAGTTGCCGAGCAGAGCAATGCAATTCAGCTCAATTCAGTTGAGCTCGAATGGAATTATAACATCATTAAAGCATGTCTATTTAAGCAGGCGCCCTCAGATTTTGACTTCATTTCCTACCTACTTGAATACCACTCTAATTCAACACTCAGGAAGCAGCGTGTACCATTATGTCTCGTATCACCTGTAAAAGATCTCAGCTAAGAGCCCTGAAGTATTCTCCCTAAAGGGAAGGAACCATTGCGAGAACGTAGCTTCCCATGAGCTGTGGTGGACCCCTTTGGGAGGTTTCTAATTTAACTGGGCTTTGTGATTTTGACTACTGCTTGGATTCCCAACATTGAGGGTAATCCTGAATTTTGCTGTGATTTCTTCAAAATTACAGGAGATGGAACCTCACTTGCCCCTACATAAACGGCTTCCATGGTACTTCTTATCAGGAGCCACAGTGGCACTATGGGTGAGCATTTTTTAAAAACCGTTACCTCTTTAACATGTAGAGTCATATTGGGATTAGCTCGATAGCTTTATTTGAAATGGCTCTGGAGTCCCTTCCTTCCTTTTCCCTCCCCAGTCTTTATATCTTGAATAGAGCTCTTATATAAAATAAACTGTAGCTTACATGGATACGTCATAGTTAAACCTTGGAAAAATACTTGGGGTGAGAGAAAGGTGCTTTATCTTAGAGCCTGTCCCTCCCTCTTTCCCAACTCTTCATTAATTAGATGATAACTTGAAACCAGACCAGCTTGAACAATTTGATTGCAGATTATTTGGTTAGTTTTTTTAAATCATTAGTTTATCTTTATCTCCACTTAAAATATCTGCACAAAGGAAAAAAACACACACCTTGCACTATTAAAGTTTCTTTTCTTGCCTAGGTAAACAGAAGAAAAATGTTATTTTGTCTATTTGAAGAATTTAATTGTCGTATCCCATTTTGAGGGAGTCAGGTGTCCTCCATGCCTTTTGGCTAATAGATTCCTCCATCACCATGATTTGTTTCCTGCCCCCCTTCTTCCAGATGTGTGCCCTGTTACAGTTGGACTTTAATTTTAGGGAAATAATTATGTTATCCTCTGAGAGTTTAGCATGTTGAGGTATAAACAATTAGCAATTGTAGACTATAGCTTAACCTCAACAGTCCATATTGTCCCATAATTTCTTATCTTTAACATTTTTTGTTTATTTGTTTTTCTATTTTAAATATGTATTTTCTTAAGTGATATAAAAATCATTAAGGAAAGAGGGTAGAATTAAGGGGCTGACAATCAGTTTGGGACACTCCTGGAGAAATATTCTAGAGTGTGGCCCCAGAAAGATTATTCTACCTTTTATTTCTAGTATTTATTCAGTTTGATTCAGTTCCTCAACTTTCAGAATAAAATTCTCCAGTCGTTGATATAAAGCCCTCCCTAGATCTTTGTGTTTTTGCAATGTGGGAAGTACACAAAATTTATACCAAATCCATACAAGTTATCCAAACTGTCATGCATATCCGGCCACTAATGGCAACACTCTGATGGGGAAATGAAATACAATCTTTAAATGTAGTTTTCTTGGGAAAGTAAGTCATCTTCATGCTACATGTTTAACTACAATCTAGAGCAGAGGTTGGCAAACATTTTTTGTAAAGAGGCCAGATGTATTTTAGGCTTTGTGGGCCACAAATAGTCTCTGGCACATAATTCTCTTTATTTTTCTTTACAACCTTGAAAAATGCAAAATACATTCTTAACTCTGGGGCCATGCCAGAACCAGTAAGGCCACAGGCAGGATTTGGCCTTCTGGCTGGTTTTTTCTTTTTTAAAAATTTATCTTTATTGTTGAAAATATTACAGATGGAATATTTATTTACCCCCTTGACCCCCTCCATGACACTCCTGCCCCCTCCCCAGGCCTTTACTGCACTCCTGTCTATGTCCATGGGTTATGCATATATGCACATAAGTTCTTTGGTTAATCTCTTCCCACCCCCCCCTTCTCCCCTTCTCTCTGATATACTTCAGTCCATTGCATGCTTCAAAACGCTTGCTAGAGGATGGGCCATGAATACTTCTCTCTTTTAGACTTCCTCAGCTGCCACCCTATGCTTTATCTCTAACGCTTTACCTTCCCCTTGTTCATTTCCTACCATTGGTCATAAGAGAGACTGACTCGGTTTTATTTCCATGTCAGAGCTGCTAAACGTAATACAATGAGATGAAGAGAATAGTATGTTTCAGATATGCATGCAGCACGGATACAAGGACCAGAGTGACCAGTTCTGTTTCCCTTCCGCAGATGTCTCTTGTCCTCGCGTGCATGGTAGCTGTGATTGTGTACCGCCTGTCAGTCTTTGCTACATTTGCCAGCTTCATGGAAAGTGAAGCATCCTTAAAACATGTCAAAAGCTTCCTTACCCCTCAGATAACCACGTCACTCAGCGGGTCATGCTTGAACTTTATAGTCATCTTGATCTTGAATTTCTTTTACGAAAAGATATCTGCCTGGATTACGAAGATGGGTAAGCTGACCAGATCATTAATACGACTCTGAAAAAGCCTTCCTACCAATGCTACACATCCATTTTTGGGTCGTCCCCCAGGGAGTTAATTTTTTAAAGTCACATTTTAAGGCAGTTTTGCTCTGTAGGTAGACCCACAGCCTGGTACCTCAGCATCCTCTAACAGCTACGTTCAGGCCACTATAGTGCAGGAAGACCTAAGAAGAATTAGGACTCTGTAGATCTTTCTGCGTATTCTTGTCTTAATCGTCCCTTGATGGGGCTAGTTGAATCCTAAGTAAAATCTTTACTTTTCTCAAGGCAAAGGTAATTTTTATTTCATGTGTATGGTTTTTAAAAGGTATTTGGTTTTGAAAAACATCATGAGAAAAATAGAATGATCAGCTTCTCCTTAATAAATTTAAATTGTAGTGCCTGTCTTTTCAGTTGCAATGTCTTAGAACCCAGATTGTTTTCTGTTTTGGATATTGAAAGTTCTCCTAAAGCCACAAGGGGAGGTGAAGGGGCCACAGGTGAAGTGGGAGACTGAGCCCGGGAGAGTAGCGCAGAGCGGAGTTGCTTCTGGTTTTGCCCCCAGCAAGTTGGAAATAGATCAGAGACAGCTCAAGGCCTCAGCTGCTTCTCTGAGTGCTCTCTGTCCAGCAGCTCCTCCTCTAAACCTGTCCACTGACATGGCCAATGTGACTCAAAAGAGCACCTCTTTCGCCCAGACTGGAGTAAGCACTGGGCAGCAACTTTCACTAAACACGATCCTCCAATTTGGAGTTGTTCCCTCAGTTTTACGTCTATTTTTCTGCTAGCAACAACAAAAACATTGTAGCCGGTAACACCTAAAAGTGAAGTACTTTAAAAATCGCAGTTTTCTTCTATGGAAAAAAACACTTGTATTCACTTTTGAGATTTTGTAAGAATGCATCAAAATGGAGGTGTTATCTGTCTTTAATACATGTATTTCCGTATCACTGAAAAAGTCATGAATTTGTTTGGATCGGGAGCTCATCAGCTCAGAAAAACATGCTCTTTTATGTCTCGTGATGCTTTACTCTGGTGTGAAGAGCATCTCACATTTTCTTATCTTTGTAATTCATTAAATGATAGATCATGATAAGCATTTATATAGCCATTTAATTCATGAGACAAAAACACAATTTGGTTTGCAAAGTATCCCCTGCCCTTGATAGGAGTTTACTTTGTTTAAACCTTACTGAAAACAGGTGTGTGTGTTTGTGTGCGTGTGAGAGAGAGAGAGGATGGGAGAGGGAGAGGGAGAGAGGGAGAGATCTGGTATGTTTACAGGCTATCTAGTGTGTCAGGATGAGCACTAGGCCCTGCAGTCTGATACGGGTGTGAATTTCATTTTCTGGACTGTGTGACTCCAGGCAAGTGTGTCACCCCTCTAAATGTAATACTGACCACTTCCTAGGCTTCTCCAGTGATTAGTTAGTACAAAGTCTCCAGTGGAAAGACTAGCACAAATCTGCAGTTAGCCTAATATTGGTCTGTTATGACCAGAGTGGGAAACATTTCACCAGGCTCTCATAAAATATGACTAGGATCCCACTTGTCCCAGGGAGTAAAAACTTTAAGAAGAAACGGCAAGGTGCATGATTAAACCTTGGTGTTTTTCACTTACCAGAAATTCCTCGAACCTACCAGGAGTACGAAAGCAGCCTGACCTTGAAAATGTTCCTGTTTCAGTTTGTAAATTTTTATTCATCGTGTTTCTACGTAGCTTTCTTTAAAGGGAAGTTTGTGGGCTACCCCGGAAAGTACACCTATATGTTTCATGTGTGGAGAAGTGAAGAGGTGAGAACTCTCTTGAGAGGTGAGGTTTATGGTTTCAGTAACTCAGTGTTAACTAGATACCCCTTTTGTGCCCAGCACAGACTCCTTTGTTCAAATTGCAAGAGAAGTGTAAGACACTAACGCCACCTCCGGAGAATATTGGTCTTAGAATCCTGTCATCTGATAGACGTTCCCATTCCTTTTGGGCAAGAAGTTATTTTGTGCTTATTGTTGGTAGCAAGACACAAGCTCTCAAATGGAGGAAGCGAGTTCTATGTTCCCGAAGGCTTCCTGCAAAGGAAGAGGGACGACTTCCTCTAAGTATCGCAGAGGGGCTCTGCCATGGGTTAGAGTTAGGCCATATCAGTGGTTCCCGAACCTGGCTGTGCAACCAAATCACATCGGAAAAATAACTTCAGCCCTAACCTAGACATAAAGATGTAGAGTTTTCTAAGAATGAGATCCAGAAATCCTTAACTAACACATCCCACGGCTGAATCTAATGCAGCTATCCTGGCACTGGTCTGCGATCGTGCTTGGACTATTTTTGAGCTAAATACCTCTTTATGTCCCTTTAGTATCCAGCTCAACCCAAATCTTCAGATTCCGATCTTCTGGTTTCGGATTTCTGTTGTTGCAAATGTTCCATCTTTCATCATTCACTTCTCTCTTCACTCCCCGCCTCTGACTAGTGTGATCCTGGAGGCTGTCTCATAGAACTGACAACCCAGTTGACCATCATAATGACGGGGAAACAGGTCTTCGGAAACATTCAAGAAGCCATTTATCCGTATGTATGACTTAGACGTTTTTGCTTGATTTAAGTAACCTTGAGAGATTTAGCCCAAGATCAAAAATATATTCTAATATACTTATCTCTTAATTTTAACATCATCTTTCTCTCTTAATGTGTATGGAAAAGATTTTGTGTTTGATATGAAGCTCAAATTTAATTTCTTACACATGCATGCGCACCCACAGACACACACAGACATCTCCCTTGTCAGTAACACCCCCTCTCCCAACGAACTGGGCTCCTCCTCCTGTCTCCCTAGACCCTCAACACAACCACCTGCTTACAACACAGAGTTCTTCTACCAGATAACCTTAGTGAATTCCAAGGACAGAACTAACAAAAGTAGAATATTGTATTCCTCTTCCAAGCCCCTTAAATTTCTGAGCCTAGATTGTTGACAAAATTTTGTCATGCTTGCCTGTTTTGTTTGTTTTCAAGACTTAATGTTACAGTGAATTATCTTCTGCATCAATGAGGAAAAAATAAAACTGATACTTAAAAATGAGAAAAAAATTGTGCTACCATTCATTGAGAAGTACCTCTTCCCCACCCTCCTGGTATCTATAATACCACATATGCCACTTACCAGGGGCAGCGCTATTACTAGGTCTTTATTCTGTTCCCTGGTTTGCCTCTCCCTGAACCGACACCACACTCTCTTAATACAGCTTCATGATACATCTTGATACCTGGTGGGATGAGTTTTACCACCTCATTCTTCATATATAGAAATACCTTGGTTATCCATGGTCTTTTGTCTTTGTATAAATTTTAGAAGCATCTTGTCAGACTTGACATGAAAAGCATTTTAATCCTTTTTATTAAAATTACATTTGTTTCAATAAAATTGAATCACAATTGTTTTAATAAAAACAACTGCCATTTTTATAATGCCAAGTCTTTTTACTCATGAGCATTTATTTTGAACTTCAGTGACTGTATGTAAAGAATTAAACTTCTCCATGTAGGTTATATACATCTTTTGTCAAATCCAATTCTAAGTACTTTTCATCTTAATGGCTGTTATAAATGGCATCTTTTAAAAAATTTTTTTTACACCTGTGTTTTGTGGGTACATAGGAATGAAATATATTCATATACTCAACTGGTTAATTCTAATCATTTTTGTCCAACTCCATTTGGGTTTTCGGTGCAGACAATCAGAGTTCATTATCAATTATAGATTACTCCTTCAGTTTTTATTTTTATTTTTTGGCTTTTTTGGCTTTTTTGTCTTTCGTGCTGGCTAGGATCTCTGGTAGAGTCTTAAGTGTGATCATGCACACTCCTATTTTGTTCTTGGTTTTTAAGGGAATGTTTCTAAATTGCCCCAAATTTTGGTAGGTGCTTGTGATCAGATTGAGGCAATTTTCTTCTTTTTCTACCTTTTTGTCACCAATAGGGGCTTGAAATATATCAAGTATATTTTTGTGCAGCCGTTGACATGACTTTATATTTTCTCCTTAAATCTGTTGATGTGGTTTATTACATTAATTGATTTTCTAATAGAGTAAAAACTTTTTTGTTCCTTAAAGTAATCCAGCATTATCATGATGTGTTATTTTTTATATACTATGGAATTTAGTTAGGTAATATGTTGTTTAGGATTACTGCATTTATTTTCATGTGTTAGATAAGCCTCTGCATTTTTGCTGTCATGCATTTTCTATTGTAACCAATTTCTCATGTGTCCTTCTTAGTATCATGACAAGATAGAGGTTAGTAAATTAAATAGAAAAAAGCAGCCCTATGGTGACCTCCGCATGCTTTTTAACAGAACTGTCTCTGGATAAATATATTTCCATTGGGAGATTCAGGGTTTGTTGTTTTCTTAATCACCCCAATAAGTAACTTTTGACCTTAGCATGTGTTGTGAAAAGAACACTAGATTTTGATTTGGACTTGCTCTACGTGTTCTGTGATCCTAAGTTACTTAACCTCTCTCACTGCCAATTTCGAGATCTAAGATTCTGATTCTGTAACCCTTTATAAAAACTCTATTTCATGTATTTACTTCTGTCACTTCCAACAGCTGGGTTCTGAATTGGTGGAGACGCCGAAAATCTCGGACCAACTCTGAGAAGTTATACAGTCGATGGGAGCAGGATCATGACCTTGAAACTTTTGGAAGTCTTGGGCTATTCTATGAATACTTAGAAACAGGTAATTTTCAACCACATGTCTTGAAATGTAGACTAAGGCTGAGTAAAATAAATGTTTTTTCAGCTCTTAGTATTTCTTCCTGCCTTGGACATAATAGGTGTTCAATAAATCATTGGACAGTGGGTGAGAAGATAGATGGATGGCTATAGAAAAGATTGGTTCCATATTGACTTTACCCACCAAATAGAATGTAGAATGAAGTTTAATTGTAAAACACCAATCTTAGATATATTTTTCCTATTAATTGAATGTTAATATTGAACAAAATAAAATAATACCTTTTTAATACCTGTCTCAAATGAGCTTAAAAATAGCTGTTTCTTTTTTTTGTATGCCTCAGTGACATCTCAGTGGGAGGGTAAGTTGAAAAACATTTCCAGCTACTGACATACATTGAGTTTTTCCTTTATTTCATGCTGAAAAGAGGAAGGCTAAAAGCAGTTATTCAAGGGAAACCCAAATAAATGCATAAAATACTCTAAGGGTTGAACAGAGAAGAAATCTTGAGATAAAATTCTGCCTGTATAGTCTACTCAGTGTTTCCTTTTGGTGATATTTCTCTGCTTCTCTGGTGAAATTAAGGAGGACAATTTTTTAAACTTATTCCTAAGGCCCACAAAATCACAGTGGAATGAATGAGATGGCCTGAAATTGTTACTGATTCTCCACTGTAGTGCATATCTATGATACCTGGATTGAAATAGATAAATTTAGGACAAAGAGAAGTCTATTTTATATAGCTGGCTATAAAATTAGGTAGTCTTTGCTTTATGGAGTGGTAAGTCTGTAATTTTTAATTGTATATGTTTCAAATGAATTTGTATATAAATGCATCAGAGATTATCACTGAATTGTAACATTGATTCCCGTTTATTGTGACACAACTAAGGAATTTATTCTAGATGTTTAACATACATTATCTCTAATCTTGAAACATTCCACAGAGTAGTTATTATTTAAGAGGATACTGGAACGTGGATAGTTTAATTTTCCATGGGTCACAAAGATTTTAGGTAAAGATCTAGAATTTGAACATGGAAAGTTTAAGCTGTTTTTCCATACTACTTCCCCTTAATTTGTTATTTCTTGGGTCAATCAAGAAGGCAGAAAATGAGGCGATTTGTTCACTTGGTTTAGTAGATGACAAGGCTGATTTTCAATGAGAGAATTTTAAAAGAAAAGCTGAAACCCAGAAATACTCAAGATTTGCCTAAAAGTAGAGGACTAGTGGAAGCTTCTTTCTTTCATCCTTCCATGGAAAGCCATTCCTGTATCTCTTATTATTTTTTACTCATGTGGGAAGCCCAGACTGCTAGTTGCATGGGGTTTTTTTATTCCAAGCATTGTTGGAAACAAAAAACTAAAAATGGGGAGAGAAGCCAACTTACCAGGTGTTAAGTCTTAATGAGGAGAGTAAACTGTACTTAGAAAGATGTCAAGATATCACAGAGGATCAGGACTTTAACAAATACTTTTTCCCCCAGAAAATGCATATTTCCTCTGCCTGCATATAATTCATATATATTTCTGATGCTTTAGATAATTCACTTTATGGTTTATTCTCAAATATCTTTTTTTACACTGCCTTTTTTATCTGTTAGCTTCTACTAATCTTAAATAATGCATTAATTTATAAGGCATATAGTTCAGTACTTTTATATACCCGCTGCATGCTGGCTATTGGCAGCATACAAATGAATGAGGCATTATCCCTGATCTCAGAAAGTACTCAGGTTAGCAAGACAGAAAAACTTGATTACCTCACTATGGTGGCAGTACCAGTGTAAAGGCTAGACCAGCATAGACCTAAACATAGACTATAATAAAAGACTGTGCTTTAAGAAGAATATCTTATCTAACAAAAGTAGATGCTTGCTTTAGATAAGCAGATCTCAGAAGAAACAGCAAGGACAGGATGGAACTGAGCTATGCATGCCCGGTTTTTCCTTCCCTTTTAGGAAGTAAATGAGTCCCTGTGCTTCTCGTGGGGAGGGGGAAGTAGGCAGCTGGAAAGGGACCTGGAGCGTTTGCTGGTGCAGATCCTTCAGAATGTAGGAAGCGGCAGGAGTTGGGCAGAGTGTTCTCTCTTTTCCTCTCCACAGTGAGTTCACAAATTTTTCTTTTCTCCCTACAGTTATCCAGTTTGGATTTGTTACATTATTTGTGGCCTCTTTTCCTTTGGCTCCTCTCCTTGCCCTCCTGAATAACATCATAGAGATCCGCGTGGATGCCTGGAAACTTACGACTCAGTACAGGAGACCTGTAGCTGCTAAAGCTCATAGCATAGGTGTTTGGCAAGACATCCTTTACGGAATGGCTGTCCTTTCTGTGGCTACTAATGTAAGTGGGCCTGTTTTGGTGGGGTAACTTCGTATTTTGTTTTCTTGGGGGTAGGGAGATGTGAATGATGCTTAGCTCAATCTTTACTGGCATTGGTTTCATCTGCTGACAGTCCATAAAGGTCAAACATCCCCAAACTTTTATGCAGTAAACAACATAGAGAAATCTGTGACATGGAAACTCTTAGAAATACAAGGAAAATTATAAAATCATTCTCATTAAAATACCACAATACTGTTTCGTAGCTTGTGACAAAGTAGACAGGAAACAAGTAATGGTATAAAGGATTTGAATAATACAATTAAATCTTGATTATATGTAAAGTTGTATACTGCAGCTAGAGAATACGCAACATTTACCTGTTACGTCTATGGAGCATTTATTAAAAAATAGAAATAAAAATAAATTCCCCCACCCTGGCCGAATGGCTCAGTTGGTTGGAGCATCGTCTGGTACACTGAAAGGTTGTGGTTCAGTTCCCTGTCAGGGCCAGGTCAGGTTTCTCTCTCACATTGATGTCTTTCTCTCTCTCTCTCTCATCCTCTCTTTCTGTCTCTAAAAATCAATAACATATCCTCAGGTGAGGATTAAAAATAAAGTAAATAAATAAATGCTTTTATTATTAAAAAAGAAGACTAGGAAACATGGGCTGAGCATGTAATTTAAGAAACTAAGCAAAAATGTAAAGCTAATCAGTAGAAAGTAGTAAGAGAATTAATAAAGATATAAACAGGAATAATCAAATTAGAAAACAAACAAAAAGCAATATAATTGCTAAGTATATCAAGAATTGGCTCATTGAGTCCAAGCCAGTTTGGCTCAGTGATTAGAGCATGTCATCCCTCCGTCTGAAAGGTCTCAGGTTTAATTCTAGCCAAGGGCATGTGCCTTGGTTGCAGACTCGATCCCCAGCCTGACAGGTGTGCATAGGAGGCAACCAGTCCATATGTCTCTCTCACATCAACGTTTCTCTCTCCACTCTCTCTGAAAAGCAATGGGAAAAATATCCTCGGGTGAGGCACAAAAGAAAAAAATTTGGCTCATTGAAAAGACAAATAAAATAAGCAAAACTCCAAAAATCTCAAACCAGAAAAGGAGTTGGGTGTTGGTCCAGGCAAGTGAATTCGGTTAAGGACAGTGGATCTGCAGCATGAAACAATAAGAAACGTAGGAGATAGAAAGGCGTGATGGAAAGGGCGTGGTTTTTTAGATAGATACACTTGGGTTCGATTCTAACTTTTTCACTTTCTAGCTGTGAAATCTTGGACTACTAGACCATTCTGTAAATGAGGAATTTCATGTTTTAGGCCAAAGATTCATATATTGACATAATTTATAATAGCATTTTAATTATTTTGCATCCGTATGGCACATGGAACTGAGGGAGATACAAATCAGACATTTTTTTTTAAAAGATTTTTTATTGATTCCTAGAGAGAGAAGAAGGGAGAGGGAGAGAAAGAGAAACTGATGTGAGCGAAATATCAGTCGGCTGCCTCCAGCACGCCCCACACCGGGGAATGAGCCACAACCCAGGCATGTACCCTAGTCATGAATTGAATCAGCAACCCTTTGGTGCATGGGGCGACGCCCAACCAACTGAGCCACACCAGCCAGGGCACAAATCAGACATTTAAAAAACTAGATTCCTAGCTCATTATCTCCCTCTTGCTTTATCCTTTAGGCTTTTATTGTTGCATTTACATCAGACATGATTCCCCGTTTAGTGTACTACTATGCCTACTCAACAAATGCCAGTGAGCCGTTGAGAGGATACGTCAATAACAGCCTGTCAATATTCCTGATAGCTGACTTACCAAACCACACTGCGCCTTCGGAAAAACGAGACTACACCACTTGCAGGTTTTCTCTTGTTTTCTTAGGCTTTAATTTTGCCTTCTAAATGTATTGCTTAAGTTCTGTATTTCCTTCATGCTTTACAATGTAAAGGATTTACTTGGGGCACTAAAAATCCTAGATAAATCAAGTGTATCAGTTCTAGAATTCACACGTATGATTCTCATTTGGAAACGTAGAATGTCCCAAAGTTAGAGAATATCATGGGTAAAGATCGTGTCAATTTTGAATTGTTTCTTATTTTCTAAATTATTGGAAAGATTTCTCACCAACAAATGCCCCTTGGCCCAAGTTGTAATATCTATAGACTATACAGCATTGTTGTATTAATGGGCATTTAATGTACTTGAAATTAATTATATGTCTTCAAAAGAAAGACTGAAAAAGAAGTAAAAATATGATTAGTTCACCATCCATTCCACTTAAAGGGTTTCTTTCATGCAGTGAGTGTGAAATTGGATTTGTAAACCTATGGTTTCCACACATAGTGTCTCATGTCCTGTGAGGATCTTTTTACTCTAGGATTTAAAGATTACGTATATAATCTGTATATAATATGTATATAATTATCATGTTATATTTTACTAGATAGGTAGGTAGATGATAGATAGATGATTGATAGATAGATAGATAGATAGATAGATAGATAGATAGATAGATAGATGATAGATATTTGATAGATTAGAGCATCAAGGCTCCTTAACTTAAATCTTAAATCAATTGCTTCATCTTGGGTTCCAACAAAGAAACAGCAAAATGTTGCAACACAAGTGGACAGAAGCATGTTATGTTTCATATTTGCATCTAGAGGAATCATAGCATAGTCTTTAAGAGCATGGATACTGTCATATTTCTTGATGTCATCCCTAGACTAAAACTTTGAAGCACATCAACCTCTAACAACTTTGTAGAAAACAATGAGCTCACAGAGCTGAGCGCTGAGAACACTCCAGAAGGATAGTAAGGAAAAAAACAACACACTTTAGTGTCAGATAAGCCAAGAGAAAATAGAATTTCAAGAAAATAGAAATGGTCAACAATGTCAAGTTTTATTTTTGAAAGATCCAGTAAGTTGAGGATTAAAATGTTCCTTCAATTTAATGACAGGAGACAGGTGGTCTCACTGGGGTGATGGATGGAACCAACGGTGTTAAGGGGTAGGAAGAGAGGGGATGGAGAAAGCAAAGTTTGTCTTTGAAGGGCAGGAAAGAAGGTTCACTTGTGTCTCCTGCTACGTCTATCTAGACTACTCATAAGCAACATTTGGCCATGATTTTTACCTGTACAAGAAAGATAAATTTTTCATGGTAGCAGTTATCTGACTCTGACTTGACTTTTGAGGCCAACTAGAAAAGTCTCTTAAGAAGAGTAAGAAGAACTTATGCTAGGTCCCTCTATTTGAAGCTGTAGCTAATTTTTTGTATTTCTGTTTTTCAGGTACAGAGATTACAGATATCCTCCTGATCATGATCAGAAATACTTCCATAATATGCAGTTCTGGCATGTCCTTGCTGCCAAAATGACCTTCATCATAGTTATGGAGGTAAGCCCTTCTTAACACTCATTCCAGTGAGTCTCTGCTCCCTTCAGTCATGTATTTCTAAAGGGACTTGCTCAGAAGAAAATTGGCATTATCTCAACAAATTGTTTTGACATATTTGTTGTCATAAAAAGCAACTTAGGGATATTTTCAGTATAATGATTGCCTATTATTCACGTATGATTGTTGAAGATTCCAAGGTGACAGAAAAGAAAAAATATGACCCTGAGGACCTACTGATTTTACTGAATGCTTTTATATATTGTTTCCAGAGGCTGTACTAATAACCTTATAAGTTAGGCTTTATTTTTCACCCTTAAAAACTGAATCTGAGACTTAGCAAAATTAGGTATTTGGTTTAAAGATAACCAGCTAATATTAAACCTGGGTTTTGATGACAGACGTCTCACTCCCAAGCCTCTGCTCTGTCCACTATCTTACGTTTCTCCCTTGTGGAATTTCTAGTACAATTATAGATATAAGACATGCAGTAACAAAGAGCAAATTCAGAGGTGGTAATTGACTAAGACACAAATTGAGTGCTACAGATCGTGAGACGTGAAAGCCAATAAGGGAGAGACAAGTCAACATAAGGTACTTTTTCACTCTGCAGTGAATCCCAATACTGACGGAAAAGTCTAATGCAGGCACACAAAGCCTAATTAGTTTTTCTTTATTTTTTTATACACGTAAGTAATTTAAAGAGTCAAATAGTTTTACATGATAAAAAAAGAGAGAAGTCTTATGTAATATTCCTCCGCATGTTTTTCCTCTTTCTCTCTCTCTTTCTCTCTCTCAGTTCTTTATGAATTTATCTCTCTTTCATTTCCACATATTTCATAACCTTTCACTAGGTAAATTGCACTAGGAATCTTTTGGGGTTTTTTGTGTTTGTTTTTGTTTATTCTTACTAATTTTTTTCAATCATCGCAGGCTCTGAGCAGTCTTTGGGGGACTGCTCTTCACCTTCTCTTGTATTAAATACTCTGTTTCCTGCAATCTGTGTTTCTCCCATTTGGGGACTGCTAGCTTAGTCTAATGAAGCACTTCTTTCAGTTATTTGCTGAGGAAAACCATAGGCCATCAATTTTTTAAAACTTGCATCTTAAAAATGTATTTTCTTTCCTTATAGATGATTAATTGGTCTATAATTCAAGATCGAAAGTCGTTTTCCCTGAAAAATTTTCAACCGACTTTATTTCGGTCCTCCTGAAATTTTTTGAGCCATTACTCCATAGTCTGCTCTCTTTTAGTGTCGTTATAAAGTGCGGTGCCATTCTGATCCCCCAGTCTTTATGATCTTTTTATATGTCAATAATCTGAGAACTCTCTCAATAGTTTTTCTTTTATGAAATTTCACAAGACAGTTCCTTTATATTGGACCAAATTCATTGTCCTGGGCATTCGCTAAACCCCGTAGGTCTTAAAAACATATTTACCCTTCAAGTTGAGAAAATGTGCTTGTCTCGTTTCTTTGATAATTTCCTTTTTGCCCTGTTCCAGCTTTCTGGGACTTCTGTCATTCAGATGTTACACCTCCTGTTCTGAAATTTCAATTGTCATTTTTTTCTTTGCTCTAAATAGACAGAATCATATCCTTGTCTTTTTAGTCTGCTATTTGTTGTCTCCATTCATTACTCTCTTTCCTCTTAGCTCCTATTTTTGTGTTTCAGTCTTTTTCTTTCATGTTAGATACTTGCTTACATATTTGGTAATTCTTAGCAATCTGCTCATATTTAAAAGCGAAGCAGTGAGAGCTGATTATAAGCTCTGTGTGCATACTTGAGAAGTGATGCTCGGTAGGTTCCCCTGTAGTGCAATGAAATAGTGGGGGGACCTTTTCCTTTGAGACTGACAACATTTTGATATCTGCAGCTCTAATTTCACAGAGCAGCTATTTTCCCCGGAGAGAAAGCCTCTAGCCTGTCTGTTGAGCTCTTTCATGGCCGCCTGTGTGCTGACAGCTGAGCCAGGCGGGAGGGGGGAGGGATCTCAGGACGCAGCATGCCCAGTTCACTCAGTCCCTGTTTCCCATGGTGCCATGTCTCCATCCTTCACGGTCTCTGGTGTCCCTGAGTTCACAGCTTTCTGTTTTCATTTCAGTTGCTTCCAGGGTGAGGTTAGAGAGAAGTAATACCTGGATGCGGAGGGTAGAGAGGTTCTGGTAATTCAACTGCTCCTTATGCACATTTTTAACCAATCCTCTTGTTTTCAACTCCACTCACACTTACACCTTCAAAGTCCTTAGTACTTTCTTTCCTGAGCTTTTCTGATGAGCTAAGTCACCATACCACCCTTTGCAAGTTTAAGTGCCAGCTTTCTTTTCTCTGGAGTGTATTATCACTGTTCCTTCCTTTTCTTTTTGTCTTTGTGAGTTATATCGTTTATTAAAATTAATTTTCAAATATTTTATTAGGTTTTCAGGAGGCAGCGTGGATAAAGAGTTTATTCAATAACCATGTTCAACTTCAATTTCTGTATTACACATTTTAGAATTTATTTACCTATTCACTGTTGGTCTTTATAGGAAAGTTTCAGGACTGGGACCCTATCTTTTTTACTTTCCTTGGACCTCCTGCACTGAGCACAGTTTATGGAATGAATGAAATTATTTATAAGAACTTCCTGCTGAATGTTTGACAATTCTAACAGTGTCTTTTATTTTTTGGTGTTTTCTTTAGCACATTGTATTTTTAGTTAAATTTTTGGTGGCTTGGATGATCCCTGATGTTCCAAAAGATGTTCTGGACAGAATCAAGCGAGAAAAGCTAATGATAGTCAAGATTCTCCATGATTTTGAGCTTAAAAAATTAAAAGAGAACTTGATATTTGATTCTCAGGAATTTGCCAAGGAATTCCTTATTCAGGAAAACAAAGTACAGCTGGCTAAATCAACAGTCTAGTCAACAAAATGAGTAAGCAGCTGGTAGCCTGTCTGGCTTCACGTTTTCCCTGGGTTAGGGCCGGAGGCCAGAAGCCATGTGCCAATTTCACCCCTCCTCCTTCATTTTCTCTTTTAACGCAGAGTTTCTGTACACCTTTATAGAGGCCAACTTTATGAGGTCGGAAGAGTACCACTTGTCTGCTCCATTGGCTGGGCCCTCCCTACATATTGTTTTCTGGGATTCTGTAAATGATTGTTAAAAGTGCATGTGGAATCAGAATATAGAAAATCATGGAATGTTGCAGTTTTTAACCCAACACTGGACTTGGGCTATCCCATCACCTTCCAGTGCCTGTGCACATTTTCATGGTCTTCTACTGGGTTGTTTTGTGTCTTTTTCCCATCAAGAAAAGTGCTGGGACAAAAAGAAAAGAAGTGAAGGGGCCAAAAGAGTCACATTTATCCTGCTGCTTTAGACTGCAAATGGAAAAACCAAAATCCGATGACATACGAAAACTCACACATTAAACCTATTGGGTAAACATTGTGGCAAGGGTGTGTTTCTGAAGTCATCCTGAATAAGTTAAGCTTCCATCAGAATCCCAGATAGTCCTTCCAGGAAAATGCAAAATTGATTCTTCAAGAGACTGAACGTTTGAGTTTCAACGAAAGACTAACAACTCAGTTCTTTGAAGATAACGTTGTGGTAAAAATAATTTGAAGACCGGATTGTCATATCTGGAAAAGAGCTTAAGAAGTTATTAAATTGCTTCAGGTCTTTGAGTAAATGAAAGATGTTTTAGAACAGTAAATGTCTCTTCTTAGTAGTTAAAGAATGCAAGACAATGTACATTGATTAATTTATTGACCTTAATATAAAAATTGTTGAATTACTTAAAAAAATTATTTGTCTTCTGCAATACCTTTTTTGTATCATGAAACTTATCTGAGCATTAGCTATTTGTGTAAGTTAGGTACAAGTTGTTTATGAAATTTTTGTTTGTTTGTTTAAAGCAATCTCTAATCTTTTAATGCGTTTACAACCTTCTATATTGATTCGTCCCTTTATGCGGTGCTCGGAGCCTTGTCCCCATGCCTTTGATGCACAGAAGTATTGTTTGTTGGCTGTTGATTTGATGTGATGTGACATCTCAGTTGTGAGCCTGCTTTAGAGAAATTGTCAGTTTAACGTCAGTTACAGAGTTTTAACACCCAAAGTGGATCAACTAAGTAAGAATGAGGTAGAAGATTTGATAGCTAAGTAAAAAAAAAAAAAAAGTGGAATTATTTTTCACACACTTAGGCCTGTGGCACATGCACACTAGTTCTTACTCTTTCCCTTAAAAATGATACATATACTTTAACATCATAAAGAGATACAGCTCAACTGTAAATTACTTGAATCTCTAGTTTTAAACTACACTTTAGTTTCAAAAGAATACTGTTTTTTTGTTTTAAATTTATCTTTATTGTTGAAAGTATTACAGATATCCCCCTTTTTTTCCCCATGGACCCCCTTCTACCTCCTCCTCGCCCCCCACCCTAGGCCTTTCCCACACTATTGTCTGTGTCCATGGGTTATGCATATATGCATGTAAGTTCTTTGATTAATCTCTTCCTACCCACCCTTCCCTCTGAGATCCCTCAGTCTGTTCCATGCGTCTTTGTCTCTGGACCTATTTTATTCATCAATTGATTTTGTTCATTAGATTCCACATATGAGTGAGATCATGTGCTATTTGTCTTTCTCTGCCTGGCTTATTTCGCTTAGCATAATACTCTCCAGGTCCCTCTATGCTGTGTCAAAGGGTAAGAGATCTTTCTTCTTTACAGCTGCATAGTATTCCCTGGTGTAAATGTCCCACAGCTTTTTTATCCACTCAGCTACTGATGGGCACTTGGGCTGTTTCCAGATCTTAGCTATTGTAAATTGTGTTGCTATGAACATAGGGGTGCATACGTTCTTTGCGATTGGCGTTTCAGGCTCCCTGGGATCTATTGCTAGAAGTGGGATAACAACTGGGTCAAATAGCAGCTCCATATTTAATTTTTTGAGGAACTTCCATACTGTTTCCATAGTGGCTGCACCAGTCTGCATTCCCACCAGCAGTGTACCAGGGTTCCCCTTTGTCCACACCCTCACCAGCACGAGTTGTTTGTTGATTTGTTGATGGAGCCATTATGACAGGTGTGAAGTGATACCTCATTGTGGTTTTAATTTGCATCTCTCTGATGATTAGCAATGTTGAGCTTTTTTTCATGTCTCTTGGCCTTCTGTATGTCCTCTTTGGAGAAGTCTCTATTTAGGTCCTTTTTAACTGGATTGTTTGTTCATGGATTGGTAGAATTAACCTCATTAAAATGTCCATACTACCCAAAGCAATCTTTAGATCCAGTGCAGTACCTATTAAAATACCAGTGGCATATTTCACAGATCTAGAACAAATACTCCAAAAATTTATATGAAATAAAAAAACCCAAAAAAACCAATAACTGCAGCAATCTTGAGAAAGAAAAAGAAAGTTGGAGGGATCACACTACTAGATATCAAGTTATACTATAAAGCCAGAGGAATCAAAACAGCCTGGTACTGACACAAGAACAGGCATATAGATCAATGGAACAGAACAGAGATCCTAGAAATCTACCCAAGTCATTACAGTCAATTAATATTTGACAAAGGAGGTAAGAGAATATAATTTAGTAAAGACAGTCTGTTCAATAAATGGTGTTGGGAAAATTGGACAGGTACATGCAAGAAAGTGAAACTAGACCACCAACTTATACTATACACAAAAGTAAATTCAAAATGGATAAAAGACTTAAATGTAAGGCATGAAACCATACAAATCCTAGAAGAAACCATAGGCAGCAAAGTCTCAGGCATCTCTCGGAGCAATATGTTTGCCAGTACATCTCAGGCAAGAGAAACTAAACAAATGGGGCTACATCAAACTAAAAAGCTCCTACACAGCAAAAGAAACCATCACAAAATGAAAAGGGAGCCCACTGTGTGGGAGAACATATTTGCCAACGACACATCTGGTAAGGGGTTAATATCCAAAATATGTAATGAACTCATACAACTTAACAGAATAGTCTTTTCATTGCACACAAAAGAAGAAACTTTATCACAAAAAGATTTTTTTAAAGTAGTGTTTCATTATTGGATGCTAATATGTTTTTTGTGGAATTGTTAGTATTAAGTATATGGCAGGTAGTGTTAACTAGTGATCAGTGTTAAGCTCTTACATCTGAGGGGTATGGATTTTATAAAACCACGAGACAGTTACTCTAATATCGGCAATAACGATTTGCCTTCCACTGGGTAGATCTTAGGAACATTTTTATGTAATTTGCAGTGATCTCGTTACTGAAGCATGATTTCACATGTGGAGGACATCTACTTCTTGCTTGAGAAAACCAGCCGGTGTTACTGTGAAGCCACAGATGCGGTGTGTTTGGCTCGGACGCAGCTGCTTGACTACGGTGTTGTACATGGTGCACAGCTCATACTGCTTCCTTCCCAGGTGCTAATAAAAATTAGGATGTGGAAACTGGTTTCTTATAGCTTTTAGGGTTTTTTTTTTATGGCCTAACAGCATTTGTAGAGTTAGAGGGTAAGAAAATAAAGAAATATTTACCTCACAAAGTTGTCTGTACATTGCAGACCTAAACCAACTCAAGTGTTGGATTTCTGGGATGTATGGAAAACAAGAGAGGAAACAGTAATTTTTAAAATAAATAGTTTTTATGATTGGTAGGTATTTTTCTTTAAAAATATTATTGATAAATACTTCGTATTCATGTTTCAGTTTTCTACCAAGGCGTTTCTCCTAGTTCCACAGATTTTAAAATGAAACACAGGTATCCATCACTTTCCCCAAAGCTTGCTTAGCCTAAGTCAGAAGCCAAGTGGATTCAGATACATTTGTCTTATCTAATTAAACCTATTGGTTATTATGGGCGGGCTGAATTAAGAGCACGTGACTATCAAATGTAAGTTGATATCTATCAGATGGCAGCTGTTCTTATCCAATCAAACCCATAGCTACTTTTTCAGACATGTTCCATGAAACATTTGAGATTTTGTTTGAAATAATTTTAAGTGCAAATGCTGGAAAATACATAACTCTTCAAATGTCATCTCTAATCCTTGCCTCCATCGGTTTTTCTTTGACCATCAGAAGCAGAATCCACTTCAAAACATTTATGCTAGACTAATTCATCCAGAAGGGAGCATCTTAATTAGATGGAGTGCTGTCTTATTTTTGCTGCATCTCATGACTCCTCCTGGATTTAACTTTCTTCTTCTATGTAATCCATTCAGCAAGTGGCCAAGGAGAAGACAGAAAGAAGATGATGAAGGGTAGAGGAAGTAGATAAAAGAGTCCTCTCCTGATGAAACTGCGTGTTTCCGTGGGAGAGACGTGTTGTCAGGCCACACGGCACAGCTGCTGGGGGAGGGGTGCGAGGAAGGTCTCTTTCCTAAGCCATCTAATGAGGCTGCGGGAAAAGCCAAAGAAATTTCAAGTGGGGAACTATTATGTGTCAAAAGTAAAACTGATTCCAAGGGGTTTTGTGGTGTCAGATGCTACACAGCCCTGGATCTCTGTTGATTGACTCCAGTTGAGGGTGAGGAATTTGAACTCATTCAAAAGGCTAATCTGTTGTCTTGAAAGAGCCTCTATACTGGTGGTTTTTAATTAGCAGTAGTTGTTATCCGGTCAAATAATGTTATTAAGGGAAATAGCATTGCAAGAAGTTCCCATTGGCCAGGCCGACAAGTCTGCTACCATGATTCAGAGTAAGTTTTATATTATTTTGTTTCTAGACAGATTATTGTACTTCTTTACGTGGAACAATTTACGGATGTCAGTTATTTCAGCACTATGTAAAAATGCGCACGAGGAAGTGGGTATGCAGGAAGAGTCCCTCTTAAGGAACAAATCTTGAGTCACAATCACTCAGTGAATAAAGTAATACTTTTTAAACTATATTTTTACATGAACTCAGTTTGCTCTTACAGTAAAATGTTGATATAATTTTTCTGAATTTGTTCTAAGAGGGTTTTAAGTTCTTTTTGTTTAGGAACATTAAAATGCATTACATGTAACGTTTAACTCACAAAATTACATGTTTGTTACATTTAGAGGTGCAGACTTCTGGAAACAGGTTGGATGGCCCAGAAAAATTGGAGATGGTGGTAGTTTTGTTTTGCCTCTTTATTTTATTCCATTTTATGAGGTGATATAGGTGAGTAGAAAGGCCCAAGGACATAAATAGTAGGTTGATATATTTCTGAATATTTTTCTAGTCCTGTCTTTCCCCAGAAGAATCCACAGCCACCTTTGTTGGACTTCTTGGGCAACTCGTGAGAAATGCATATCCCCTGGTCCTTCCCCAGGTCTCTAGGAGCAGAAAGAACCTCTGGGAGAGGAGCCTTAAAAAAATCTCCAGGGTTACAGAATATCTGAGTGGAACTACTGAGAAACATTATGCTGAACATAGTGTTATAGTTTAGTAGCTTTTTTTAAATTGAATTTATTGGGGTGACATTGGTTCACAAAACCATATTCTATCATACATATAGTTAGGCATGTGAGCCATTTGTCATGAAAATATATTTGAGAACCTAAAAAATATCTTCAGGGTACCTTCGGGGGTATGAGACTGATGAGAATTTCATAAAAATGCCAAATTCCCTAGCTGCAAGTATTTTTTGTAATAAAGTCAAACATTCATTTACCATTCCAGCCCATTAGGGAAGTATGCCAAGTCCTGTAGACTCAGGATTTCCAAATCTCTAATTCTGCAGTGTGTAGAAATAATTGAAATCATACCCTAAGAGCCCCAGACCTATAGTTTCTACTTAAATAAAAAAGGGGGGGGGCGAGTAAGAT